CTCCTTGCTTCCAGGGTCCTTCTCCTGAGAACTGGCTGTGGATAAGCCTGGGAAGGCTGCAAAGCTGCAGGTCGTGTATGTTGTTAGAGGGAACAGGAGGGTGAGATCCCACAGGGACAGTACCCTGGAAATCCTGAAATTGCATTGTTTTATTCTTATCTTGCACTGAGGGGCCCAGATAAGAGGACAGGGCAGGATCAGCCCTGTTCTCCTTTGATCCAGGTTTATTTTTAGGGTGGGATGAAGGGGTGAGTGGTGCCATGGGTTATCTGCTGGGAGGTCAGTGCTGCTCTGTCTGATATGAAGCAGCTTCAGCATGTCTGCAGTTGTGGTGTGGCTCATGAAGAGGGGCCTCTGGTGCCTCCTGCTCTCCTGACTGTCCTTTAAAGCTGCCTGTGCTTCCATGGAGATGATGAGAGGGTGGGTCTCAGAGAGCTGAAATGCTCCAAGAATAGCTCCTGGAGTACTTGAGCTGCTGCCTTTTGTCTGGAGAGAGGCTTTGGAGAAGGGCCGGGAGTGCTAGGACAAGGGGGAATGGTTTCAAACTGACAGAAGAGATTTAGATTGGATATTGGGAAGAAATTCTTCCCTGTGAGGGTGGTGTGGCCCTGGCTCAGGTTGCCCAGAGAAGCTGTAGCTGCCCCATCCTTGGGAGTGTTGAATGCCAGGTTGGTTCCGGCCTGGAGCAACCTGGCAGAAGGTGTCCCTGCCCGTGGCAGGGGGTGGAATGAGATGGCATTTAAGGTCCCACCCTAATCCTAACCATAACCCAACCCTAACCCAAACCATTCCATGACTCTGGGATCCATGTTGCTTGTACAAATGACAGTCCAAAACTGCAGCACCGAGATCTCTCTCAGAAATGGGAGCAGGTGGCTCTGGAATTCTTTACGTAACAAATACCAAATGTATTTAATTAATTACTTTCCAAGAAGTTGCTGGGCTTCATTATTTATTGTTAGCATTGGAAAGATGAGACCTGGCCTGATTCCCAGTGATGGATCCAGAGGTTGGGAAACTGGAGGACAAAGTCTCCGACTGTTTTTCCCCATGCTTTAGTACTTTCATGCCTCATGAGTTTCAAGGAGTTGATAGAGGGAAAGGTGAAGGTATGATAAACTATCTGAATTCTGGAGAGCTGAAAACTCAGATTTATGCAGTTGTAATGCTTTTTTTAAATCTTCTCCCCTCATGTTTATATTCTCCCAGTGTGATTAGCTTTGGGAATGCAGAGTTCCTGTGGCGTGGCCTCAGAACCCCCTGACTGCGAGCATCACATGGATAATTTAATTTAAATTTAGTGTAATTTGAACCTTACATTGTGAGGGCTGCCCAAACTCTGCCTTGAAAAACTTCCTGGTGTACATGGAATATGAAACAAAGCTGGAATTTCCCTCTTTCCCATCCCATCTCTTAATAAAACTCCCTGTAATGTTTTTACTGATTTTTTCTTTTTATCTTTCTCCACTGCAGATCACAATGAAGATGGTGCCAAAAATGCTGTCACCCCTGGTCAGAGACTGGGCTCCTGAGGCCTTTGTGATTTCCTTCAAACTGGAGACAGATCCCCAGATCCTCCTGGATAAATCTCGGCAGGCTCTGGAGAAATACCGGCACCAGGTGGTGGTGGCCAATGTCCTGGAATCCCGGAGAACCTCTGTCATCATTGTCACCAGGGACTCACAGACTCCCTTATCCCTGTCCGATGAGGAAATAGCACAAGGCATGGAAATAGAGGAGAAGATTGTGAGTTACCTCCAGGGCCAGCACACGGCCTTTATAGAGAGAAAAGGTTGAGGAGCAGCTCAGAGGAAACAAGGGAGTTGTGCTGCAGAGGGAGTGGGACTGGACTGATTGCCTGTCCAGGTAAATAAACCAATCCCCACGGAATACTAAGGAGGGCTGTCCAACACTGTCACTTTTATACAGCTTGGTCATGGCTATTGCGGCTTTGTAAAAGAGAAATACATGGGAGTGAAACCATTCCAAAGGATATTTGTCCTCGTGTCTAAAGGAGGAAGGGAGCTTCCATGTTTCTGTCCCACAGGCTGGGAGAACTGGGGGGATGAGAAATGATTAAGATCTCTGTATATAAAGAATTTCTTCAATCTCCCTCTTTGAAGTTTCTTTTAGAGTGGCTGGAGGAAGGAATGGGGCTTTGCAGGAAAGAAACATAAGTCTTACGACTGGAGTGGGGAATCATCTGGTGTTGAGAGAGGATGGTGAAACCAGGGTAGCAAAAAGGAGAATGAGGTGACAGAGACTTCAGGGGAGCAGCTCTTGTGCCAGGAGTGATCCTGGGAGAGATCCCATGTTCCTACATTTCAGGTGCTGCAGCAGCGTCCCTAAAGCAGCTGTTTCAAAGGTTTTCCTTCCATCCCAGGTATCTGAAGGTTGCTTTGCTTCATATTCCATTTGCACCAGGAAATTTTTCAAGGCAGTGTTTGGGCAGCTCTCACCAAATAAGACTCAAGTGTCACTGCTCTGTAAATAAAAGCAAGGCCACATTAGGCACAGACCACAGAAGATGGATCCAAGCTTGAGGCCAAGGTTGGAGAAGGGGTGTCCTGGGAAGGGAATGGAGCTGGGAAGGGTCTGGAGCACCAGGAGCGGCTGAGGGAGCTGAGTGGGGATCAGCCTGGAGAAAAGGAGGCTCAGGGGGACCTTCTGGATCTGCACAGCTCCCTGACAGGACGGGGCAGTCAGGGCAGGGGGGTTTTGGGCTCTGCTCTCAGGGAACGAGGGAGAGGATGAGGGAACAGCCTCAGGCTGTGTCAGGGCAGGTTCAAGGTTGGATATTGGGGAAAACTGCGCATGGAAATGTGTTCAAGTATTCATACAGGATGCTCAGGGCAGTGGTGGAGTCACCATCCCTTGAAGTGTTCAAAACAAATTGTGGATGTGGCACTTGGGGACAGGGTTTAGGGTAAACATGGCAGTGCTGGGGGAATGGTTGGACTCAGTGATCTTGGAGGGCTTTTCCAGGCTTATTCTCTGACAGCAGAAGGGATGGCAGTGATTGACCCTGGGAGGGGAAGCTTCCTCTTGGCTGTGTGGGTTTAGAGCTGGAATGTTTCTGGTTTTATATAAACCCACTTCCAGCTGTTACCAGCTTCAAAGTGTGTGTTCCTCATGCCTGCAAGAAATTTAGCGGCAGCTCTCCTGCTGTCCATTGTGTGTCTGCTCACGGGCTGTCCTCAAAATAGATTCATTTGGATCCTGGAAAGAAGGACAACAGCACATGGGAATGCTGGAAACATTTCCAGAGGCAAGACTGCTCTGGGTAAAACCATGGAGTGTTCAGGAGGCAGAAGTGATTTTGTAATAACACCAATCCTCTGAAAGTGAGGGGTGCTCAGCAAACAAGGAAAAAGGCAAAGAGCACGAAAAGAGCACAAGGATGGAATTGGTAGATCCCATCAGTGATGGGAGAAGTCCAGGGTGATCAGGAGGGGAGAGATCCAGCTGGTAATTGAATTAGGAAAAGGAACTCACAACTTCTCTGTGGCTAGGTCTGATAAGGTGAATAAACTCTAAGAATTGCCTGTCTTCATCTCCCAGTATGTAATTGATGGGAATGTTGAATCTAGGATTTTCCTTGTGTTAGTTTGGAGCCTCTGTAGACAGCTTGGATGGGCCAGCAGGGATGAAAATGTAAAAAGTTGTGTGAGTTGAACATGCCCTTGCGGGAGTATTGGGACAAGGGTTGGGAGAAGTGCCACCAATGCTGTCTTCAGAGTATCCTGGAATTTCTCAGAGGTGGTTGGGAAGGAGAGAAATAATCTGAGCTTTTTGAGGAGCAGATTGGGGCAGTGGGCCCTGGGAATCTTGGGGTTTCATTGGACTTGGGAACAGACTGTGGGCTTCTAGCATTGTGTCTGCCACTATTTGTGAAGTACCAGTTGGGGAGATGCCCTAAGCTCAAACTGAGACACAGCCATCCTGTGTAAGGAATGCACCTCTTCCATGTGGGAGGTTTAACCAAGCCCACAAGTACTCCCACCCTGGCAGTGTTTGGGCATCAGCACTCTGCAAATGCCAATTGTGGTACCTAAGTTGGAAGTGGCTTCTGTAAGTCCAGGATCTGTCCATTGCTTTCTGAGGATCCCAGAGGGGTCAGTGGAAGGTCCTCGCTGAACTCTGCCGTGTCCCTCTTCTCCATGTCCCGGTCTTCTCCTTTCTTACCATCCCCTGGCACAGTGTCTTCAGCCAGTGAGTCAGTTTTTCAGGATGGACCTACTTAGCTCTTCAGTTCCTCAATCTTATGACGTCATCTTTGGGTTTCAAGGTGCTTTAAAGCTCATCTCATTCCACCTTCCGCTAGCTCCAAGCCCCATCCAACTTGTCCTAGAACACTTCCAGGAATGGGGTAGCCACAGCTTCTCTGGGCAGCCCATGCCAGGGCCTCCCCCTTCACAGGGAAGAATTTCTTCCCAATATCCCATCTAACCCTGCCCTCTGGCAGTGAGAAACCATCCCATCTTGTCCTGTCACTCCATGTCCTTGTTCAAAGTCAGTCTCCAAGCACTCTTGGAGTCCCTTGTAGGAACTGGCTTGGTCTCTAAGGTCTCCCTAAAGCTCTCTCTTCTCTAGGCTTGGCTCCATGTACTTGCCCTCTTTCCCTTCAGATCCAGCAGATTCGCTTGGGGTTTAGAAGAAAATCGGGGGAACTTTTGGCCCCGTTTGGTGACCCGGGGGTGACCCCGGCGGGAGCGGCGCTGCGCCCGCCACCGGCCGCCAGGGGGCGTCACGGAGCCAGGCGGGAGCGTGGGGGGCGCGGCCTCCCGCTCCACGTGACGTGTGTGGGGGCGTGGCCTCAGGCGGTGCAGTCGCTGCAGTGCTGATGGGCGCGCGGCTGCAGCGGGGGGCGTGGTCTGTTGGCATGGTGCCGGGGTGTCTGTCCCGCCGCAGGGCCGCGCTCGCTGCTGCTCCGGTGGGTGTCCGGGACCGGCCGGGGGCCGGTTGTACCCCCGGGGCCAGCCCAGGGGGCGGTTCGGGGTATGGCTTGTACCCTCGGCGCCGGACGGCCCGGGGGGGATTTCGGGGGATGGATTGTACCCCCAGGATCGGGCCGAGGAGGCCGGGGTCCCCGCGGTCCCCCATCTATCGTGGCTCCTCTCGCTGCCCCGCAGGCGGAGCTCTTGGTGCCGGCGGGCACCATCCGGCGCTGGCTGCAGGTGGAGGGCGCCGAACCCACCGCCCCAGCCGAGGAACGCCTGGGTCCGGCCTGGCGGCTTCTGCGGCGAGCGGAGACCCAGCTGGGCGAGCTGGAGCGTCGGCGGGCCCAGGACATGAGAGACGTAAGGGCCGGAGAGCGGGCCCGGCTGGGGCCTGTCCTGGGAAGGGAACGGAGCTGGGGAAGGAAGAATCTGAGAAGTGGCTGAAGGAGTTGGGAAAGGGGCTCAGCCTGGAGAAAAGGAGGTTCAGGGGGACCATCTGGCTCTGCACAACTCCCTGACAGGAGGGGGCAACCAGGTGGGGGCTGGGCTCTGCTCCCAGGGAATTGGGACAGGACAAGAGGAAATGGCCTCAAGTTGTGCCTGGGGACATTCAGCTTGGACATGAGGAGAAATTTCTTCACTGAAAAAGTTGTCAGGTATAGGTAGGAGCTGCCCAGGGCAGTGATGATGTCCCCGTCCCTGAAGGAGTCCAAAGAACAACTGCATGTAGCACTCAGTGCTCTGATCTGGTGACGAGATAAGTTTTGTCACAGGTTGGACACTTGGGAGCCTTTTCCAAGCTCAGTGGTTCTGGGATACGCCTGGGGTTAACCTACCCCATATAGGCCTGTATCCACCGATCCCCCTCTGTGCAGCAGCAGGTTCAGGTGTGTCATTGGGAACTTGGGGTTTATGTCCCCATTCCTCATATTGGGCATCAAAAGCACTTGGTGAGCTCAGCAGCTCCCAAAGAGCCATGGTCAAACGCTCCCCACATCCCAGCACTCCCATAGCTTCATGACTTCCTGAACTCAAAGTTTTACCGTTCCCAGGTGTTCCAAAGGCATAAGACATTTGTCCTGCAAATATTTGAGGTTATCCTGTAAACAGGATGGGTTGGAGAACTTTTTGTGCTGCTGGCTCACTGGAGGCACCGGCAGACATGGGAATAGCTGGATTTTCTTTATTCCAGGTAGAAAGCTACGTGGGCTATGTCCATACACTGATGGAAGAGCAGGATGCCATCGCCTCTGAATATGAGAAGGAGAATGAGCAGCTCAGGTTGGAGCTGGCACAGCTACAGCTGCAACAGGGTAATCCCTTCCTTCTGGAGTGTGGCCCCTGGGAATGCACTGGCAGGTGTTTGGTCTGCAAAGCTTCTTGGAGAGCTGAGCAGTGTTTTTTAGGGAGTTTGCAGTGGTTTGTTGTTTGAGAAGTTGCTAAAAGTGGTAATGAGCTGTTGAAACAGATTTGTGAGGTCCTTGCCTGCTTTTATTGCCTTTATTCAGGGAGTTTGGCAGGTTCTCCATGTAGCTCTACTGCTGCACGAAGCATCTTCCAGAGCCTGTTTGAAGACCAGAATCGATGGTGCTCTTTGGTTTCCAGCTCTAAATTTTAATCTGTTGCTTCCACCAAGTCAGTGAATTTGCTCTTGGCTTTGGTTTACACAGACTCCACATTTTTAAAAACAATGTGAGGGACAGGAATTGTTCTGGCAATTCAAAAACTGGGTGTGCTCATTGTCACGGAATTCCAGGATGGTTTTGTTTGGAAGAGACCTTAAAACTCATCCAAATCCATCCCCAGCCGTGGGCAGGGACGTCTTCCACTAGACCAAGTTGCTCGGGGCCCCTCAGAGTTTCAGTAATTTTGTTTAAACAAATAATTTCACCTATTTAATTTGCAATAATTTATTTTTAAACTCTAGGGTCACTTTTGCTAGGTTTAATTCTTGATTTTCTTCAGTCTTCTGTTGCACTTTCAGTGGTGCTCATAGTCCATGTCACCATTAACTCCTTCTGTGAGCTGTATTGTCCTGGTCCTAAGATAAAATTGGGGGTGATGGCACAGCTTGGAGTTTCTTTGTAATTCAGGCTTTGGGGCAGAAAATACAGGAGTTCGGGGGAAATTTTGAGCATCAGTTAGGTTTTCAGGGAGCACATCTGGTGGTGTGACACCAAAGATGGATTTACCTAAAAATTTGATGTCTCTGGGCACTTAAAGCCGTGGTTTCTGGTGAAAAGGCTGCTTACAAAGGTTAAAATGAATAATGAGCTCTTGAGAGTCTTGCTGTGGCAGAAAACTCTGTTCCTGGTTCTTTCCCTTTCCACAAGGTGGCAGGAGAAGGACAGAATGTCCCCAGAGCTGGAGCGTGGCAATTTCTTCCTGGTGGCTCTGCTCCTTTGGACTTTCTCCACTTCTTAGGGATTCCTGAGGATGTTGAGCAATGAGTACCCCTGGAATGGAAGCTGAGATCCTTGTCTGTGGATCTCGGTGTATCCAGGAGGGATTGCTGGTTGCCATCCAGTTGTTCCCAGTGTGTTGTCCCTGAGGGGGTTTTGTGTCTTTGGTGCTGCAGAGTGTTTCTGGAGGGATTTTTTTGGGGTATCACTCAGATTTTGAAGTTCAGGACTTGTTGACTCACTGCTGGCATTGGCTGCTGTCCTGATATGTGTGTGGATAATTTAAGAATCTGGAAGCCCTGCTTCCTCTGGGCTGTCATCTGCAGGGAGAGGTGCAGCACCGAGATGTTTTGGGTCCTTGTAGAGCACTTTATTGAGTGACTGTTCCTTTCATCCAGATTTGTTCAGCTGGAGCAGAGGAGGCTGAGGGCAAGCTGAGGGCAGAGCTCATCCCAGGCTGCAGTTCCTCTGGAGTAGGATTTTATCTCTGCTCTCTGGGACCAGGGAAAGGACATGAGGGAATGGCTGAAGCTGTGTCAGGGGAGGGTTATGTTGAATGTCAGGAAAAGGTTTCTCCCCCAGAGGGTAGTGGGACACTGACCAGGCTCTCCAGGGAATAGTCCTGGCCCCAAGGCTGCCAGAGCTCCAGAAGCATTTTGACAATGCTCCCAGGGATGCACAGGGTGGGATTGTTGGGGTGTCCTGCGTCAGGGGTTGGACTGGATGATCCTTGTGTGTCCTTTTCAGCTCAGGATATTCTGTGGTTCCATGATTCTAGGTCAGCCTCTTCATAAAAAAATTCCCCATGCCATCTCTAGTATGGAGTGGCTGGATGTGCTTGTGCTGGAGATGCTGCACAATCCCAAAGGCCTCTGTTGGGCTGCTCCAGGTCTCTAATGTGTCCCTGCTGGAGGGTTCTATGCTGCATCCCTGTGTCTGTTCCCCAGGCCTTTGCTTTTCATCGGAGTTCTTGGAGTCATGGGAACGTTTAGGTTGGAAAAGCTCTCTAGGGTCATCAAATCCAGCCGTTCCTCCAAGTGCCACATCCACACATTTTTTGAACAATGCTAGGAATCGTAATTCTACCGCTTCTCTGGGCAGCTGTGCCAGTGCCTGACCAGCCTTTCAGTTAATATCCAACCTGAACCTCCCCTGGCACAGCTTGACATCGTTCCCTCTTGTCCTGTCCCTATTACCTGGGAGCAGAGCCTGACCCCTAACTGGCTGTCCCCTCCTGTGAGGGTGTTGTAGAGAGCCAGAACGTCCCCCCGAGCCTCCTTTTCTCTAGGCTGAGCCCCTTTCCCGGCTCCCTCAGCTGCTTCCCGTAGGATTTGTGCTCCCTTGCTCCCCGTTATTTTTGCAGGACACCTGACTGTCTCAGCAGGCGTAGGATGGTCCAGTGGATTGGGCTGGAAAAGAGGCTTGTGGAAAGACAGTATCTGGTCTGCTGGGATTGTTAAAAATGTGGGCAAGGCAAGAGGACAGGATGGTGTTTGGTAACTTTTGGAAGCACTGAAAGGAGAATGGGAAGGGGCAGCTGGGGACAGTGTCTGGTTCAAGCTGGTGATGCAAAGGAGGGGCCTGGGCTGTGAATGATGCAGGGTGAAGGACAGGATTGGTGCTGATACACCTGAGCTGAGAGCTGGGGAAGAGAGCCCAGAGACCCCCATGTGGGCTCTTGGGTCTGAGCACACTCCTCTTCCAACAGCAGACAAATGGATCAGAAACTGCTTGGTCTGGAATCACTTAGAGCAACTTGATCTGCTAAAAGCTGTTTTATAAAATCATGGAATTATGGAACGTGTTGGGTTGAAAGGGATCTTAAAGATTATCCCATTCCACCCCCTGCCATGGGCTGGGACACCTTCCTCTATCTCAGCTTGCTCCAAGCCTTATCCAGCCTGGCCTTGGACACTTCCAGGGATGGGGCAGCTGCAGCTTCTCTGGGAAGCCTGTGCCAGGGCCTCACCACATTCACAAACAAGAAATTCTTCCGAGTATCCCATCTAATCTTGCCCTATGTCAGTGGGAAGCCATTCCCCCTTGGTGTGGCACACCAGGCCCTTGACCAAAGTCTCTCTCCAGCTCTCCTTTGGACCCCGAGGATAGTTAGTCCTGGTGACTGACACTGAGCAGTTTCTGAAGATAAAAAGTAAATCTCTGCTCACACATTTGCTTCCTGCCCATCCTGGGCTCACAGGTTCCTACAGGCAGAAGGCTGGTTGATGCTGGGCCATCGAGCTGAGCATCAAGTCATCTGATACCTCTGCCCAGAGTGACATTTTTCCTTCCCTCCAGGCAGTTCCTGATCCGTTTCTGATGCTCTTGCAATGAATGCGCTGGGTGTTGTTGGAGGTTGTTGGAGATCGATGGTGCTCCCAAAGGCCTTCCTGAAAAAGAGCTGGAATGGCAGTGAAACACAGTGCTGGGGGAAGCTGCCTGGATTTGTTTAAAAAGTGGAATTAAAAGAAAAACCAGTCAGGGTTTGAGCTTGTTTGTTTTAACAGCTGGGCTGGTTAAACACATCCAGCAGGGCTGGAGGGTGTAGGGTTGTGGTGGGGTGATGTGGCTGCTGTTTCTCAAGAGTATTCCTGGGGTAGCAAAATACAAATATTAATATAAAATTTGCTTTCAAACAAGCGTGGACAGAGGTGGGAGATGCCAGTGGAGCTGTTGTGTGACAGTGCCTTGGGCAGGGGTTGGCTCTTCCCGGACACTGGATGGGGGAGGGAATGGGTTTGTAAGGAATCAGTGGGGTTTACTCATAGGTAACCTGGGATGTATGGGCAGACCCCCCTCATCCTCACAAATCCTGTTTCCTCTGCAGTCTCTGGAATATGTGTGGGATCTAAAATGATACTACATCCTGCGTTGCAGGCTGGGGACAAGGGGAGCACTGGCAGGTGAAGGTGGTTCTGCACACATGGGTTCCCATCCTGGGCATAAACCAGAGCAGTTTCTGTTCGTTTTAGCTGGGATTTGGCAAAACCACGGGAGGAAGGTGCCAGGCAGGTTCAGGTTCGGTTTAGTGTGATCCATGGGCTCTTCCTGAGGCACATGGAGCCGTTTGGACCCTGCATACTGCCTTGTTTGCTCTGCTGCAGCAGGAAGCTTCTGGGGAGCCCTGTTTGACCCTGTATTGACCAGGCTGTGCTTTGTCTCCCTGGGAAACCGCAGGGTGTTTTCCATCCACAGGACTGGATGGAGCCGGCTGCAAAGCACAGAGTGGAAACATGGGATTGATCAGAGCCTCAGGATATGATTGTGCTAGGTCCTGTGTTAAATCAGTGCATGACAGAGAGGGACAGGCTTGTCCTGTCCAGGGCTCTGTATGTCCTGTGTCAGTAATATTTGCTCTGTTGAACCTCTGCTGTCCAGCTCTAGATCCTGGAGCAGGGAAAGAGTGTGAATATCCCTCCTACCTCTATACAATTTCCTGCACTTCCCATCTTACTACACTTGGAAGCCTTTTTGATCTGGTTTGGGCTAGAAATTTGGTCTGTTGGTTTTGGTTTTAATATGAATTACACAGGGAGAGTTTGAAAAGCCCTCCCCTGGCTCCATAAGCTGCTGGATCCAATGCAGGAGTTGCTGCCCTCATCGTGCCAGACACCAAAGGTTCCTCATTTTCTCCTGGAAGGTAAATTCCAACCACACCAACCAGGGGGTCTTTTTAACAACTTGGTTGTGCAACGGTGCCCAGCCATAAACTGACTCCTGCAAATCCTGTTGTTGCCTTTCTGCCTTAGAGACACTTGAGTCTGGAAGTTTTTCCCAGTACAGAGTCTTCCTGGCTATAATTTCTGGATAAACATTGAAGCACTGGAAGTTTAATTCTTAAAGGTGTTCAGATCTGCCTCCTTCCTAGACACTCCTTGGGAAAATAGTGATGCTCTCTAGGAGTGATCTGGTATTTTGTGTGTCTCCTGCCAAAGAAAACATCTGTGACTCTGTGTCCATCTGTTTGCTTTCTCTCCAAGGTTGGACTCGATGATCTGAGGGTCACAACTGATGATCTAGGAGGTCTTTTCAACCTTAATGATTCTCTGGTTCTCTCAGTATCTCTTTAATCTGGTGTTTAATGTTTACCGAGCTGTACTTGGGGTTGAAGGGACTGACGATAAACCAGGGAGAACTTTGCCTGGGGAAGTAGGTCCTCTCATGCCCTTTGCTGCCTGCCAAGCACATGTGAAGAGAAACCTTGGGAGAGAGGGAATAGGGCTGAGATAATGGATAGCAGGGAATGGGAGGCAGTGAGGGAGGTGGGAAGCAGGACAGACTTGAGGAACTGTTTGGCTCCAGGAGAAATGGGGCTGTTGCAGTGAGGAATGTTTAGAGGAGCTGGGACAGATCTCCAGGAAACCCTGCCCTTTGTTTCTCCTCTGCTGACACCAAGCCTTGCCTTGCCTTCCAGAAACCCAGCTGAAGGAGGTGGAAGAGATGCTGGAGCAGGAAGGTTTATCCCAGATCTCCTGCAGTGCTGTAAGTGAACAGGTCACATATTTCCTGGCAGAGTGGGCAGTGCTGATACGAAAGCTGGAAGTGGCAGCTGGAATCCTACAGCATAATTGATGGGCTCCAGGTACCTCCTATGCCATGGCTCTGGCTGCCTGGGAGCTGCGGGAAAGGACTATCTTCAGAATATTCCTGTAATGAAAATTGTTTCTCCTGTCTCTGAGGCCACTGTGGAGTCTTGGGGCTGAAATACTTGAAGGAGCTACAAGAAAGATGGAGTGAGAGTATTTACGAGAGTCTGGAGTGCCAGGACAAGGAGGAATGGTTTCTGACAGAATATGTCTAGATTAGATATTGGAAAGGAATTCCTGTCTGTGAGGATGGTGAGGCCCTGGTACAGGTTACACAGAGAAGCTGTGGCTGTCCCATCCCTGGAAGCATCCAGGGCCAGATTGGGTTTGGAGCAACCTGGGATAGTGGAAGATGTCTCTGCCCATGGTAGGGTGTGGAATGGGATGAGCTTTAAGATCTCTTCCAACACCAAACCAGTCTGGGATTCCAGGATTCTAAGTCAGTGCCTTTCTTAATTCTCACACTTTGCACTTGATTTACTTCCACATCTGCACAGGGACAGTGAAATGGATTAATTGTAGTCCTGTGTTGAGGAGTTTGTGATACGGCTGGTGTAAGGATCTTCACTGGATAAGTATGACTTTCTCTGGGTTCAGAGAAGCCGCAGAGATGCTCTGAGGGCTGGAGCTCCTTGGGAGCAAGGCTGGGAGAGCTGGAGGTGTCCACCTGGGGAAGGCTCTGGAGAGACCTTAAAGCCCCTTCCAGTGCCTGGAGGGGCTCCAGGAGAGTTGGAGAGGGACTGGGGACAAGGGTCTGGAGTGCCAGGACAGGGGGAATGGGGGAGGAATTCTTGGCTGTGAGGGTGGGGAGCCCCTGTCACAAGTTGCCCTGAGAAGCTGTGGCTGCCCCATCCCTGCAAGTGTCCAAGGCCAAGGCCAGGTTGGATGGGGCTTGGAGCAGCCTGGGATAGTGGAAGGTGCCCCTGCCCGTGGCAGGGGTAAAATGGGATCGGCTTCATGTTTTGGTCCTTTGCAGGGACCAACTCCCTTCAGGAGACTGGCACTACCTGGGGCAGGTTTAGGGCAGAATTTCAGGTCCTGGCACTCCCCTTGGTGCTCACACTCAGTACCAGGCCTGAGAGTTCCTCTCCAGCCCCAGCAGCTCCTCTCCAGCTCCATCATTCCCAGCCATTTCATCCCCGTAGGTGGTGGGGATCGATCCGCAGTCCCCAGGGATGGGGTGAGTGATGTGGCAGCTCCTGTGCTGACTCTCTGGAGCACAGACGAGCTCCAGCCTGGGATTCCCACGGATTGTAGTCTGTGCAGGGAAATCTGTGCTTTCTGAGGTGTTAGATGAATACGAGGCTTTACAAAATGTGAGTAAGGGTTTAATGCTTGCTTTCTTTTGGGTATTTGTTGTGCTGTGTGTGCAAAATGAGGGAGACAACGTCCCAGTGGCGTCTCTGGTTCTGTATTTCTGCATGGCTTCTCCTCCTGGCGAGCTCCGAGCCAACTGCTCTGGGAATCAATGGATTTGCTACTAAAGACCTAATCTGGGGTCACTCATCTTTAGTAAAATCCCCTTAAACAGCATATTTTACTGTGATACTTGTGTGCATTGGAGGGAAGAATTTGTGACCAGTTTGATCCCAGTTAGTGGTATTTTGGTGAGGAAAGGCTTTAAATGGTATTTAACAAAATGCATGAGGAATGTTGCGAGGTTTTTCCAAAGCAGAACTAGGCTGCCACATCCAAACACTCTTGTCCTTGTGGAATCACCCCTGTGGTCAGCCCTGAAGGCAGCTGAGGGGGAAAAGCAGAAGAAGGAATGGGAAAATAAGGGGTGGTCAGGAATTTTGCAAGAGAAAAAGAGCTGGAATTTTATTATTCTTTTGTCAACCTTTTAATCATCATTTTATTAAAATTTTAGAATCAATTTGTGTAGTGGTCAACAGAGTTTTGAGTAAAATTTCCATTCTGATGGAAGATGGGGGTTGGAATGAGATGATCCAACCAACCCATTCTGTGATTCTGTGAAGATGTTCTTTGCTTTTTATTTTAAATGACACAACTGAAAAGCCAATATCAGAATACTTGCTTGAAAAAGGAATTTGTTGCTTTTTCAAAATTGGAACCAAAAAGTAGATTTGTTTAATTTTTTTTGCCTGAATAGAAGTCAGATTTAAACTGATATTTCCTGTGCCCTGGGTTAAGCTGAAAGGGGAAAAATATTTCTTCCTTTTTCTCTTAGGAAAATTGTCTCCTGAGACAGGGGGATACCAGTGTGTCCTCAACATGTGCTCCTCATGTAAACACCTTTTCCTATTTCTGCCCTGGAAGTATTGGGAATCTGCATTAATTGGCGTTGGGATTAATTTATTCATTGATGCACTGAAAAATTGGTGTGCAATTTTTCCAGTTGTGGCCATTCCATTAAATTTTAATGTGTGGACAACACGGATACATTGGCTGGGGTTGTTCCTGCTTGGGGCAGTGATGGATTTTATGGTGAAAATTCAAAATGTGGCCGTTGAGGTCTTCCAAAGAGAAAGTAAAACCCATAGTAGGTGATGTGAGTGATTTAAATGAGTTTTACCTCTGTGATCCTGAGGCAAACTGGATCCCTGAAATAATGATGGAGAGACTGCTGTTGAACCTGGATCTCCCGGGACATCAACCTTTGCTGTTGGAGGGAGATGGTGTGGATGTGGGATGTGCTCCCACATGGATGCATCCCATGTGAATGTGTCCCACAAAGATGTGTTACCATGTGGATGTGGGATGTGCTCCCACTGGATGTGGCATGTGTTCCCATATGGATGCAGGATGTATTTGCAGTGGGTGTGGGATGTGTTTCCAGTGGATGTGGGACATGTCCATGCTGCCTTCCACCTTTCCTATGTGTGGGATCAGCCTGGAATCCATGCTTGGAGTGTGGGCCAGGCAGGGCCTGGTAGGGCCAAACCAGTGATCACTTTCCCGGTGCTGCTGTCTCCAGACAGGACTGAGCTCCAGAAGGCCATGGAGCACAACAGCCAGCTGGACAAGGAGATCCTGGCACTGCGGGCACGGGTCCAGATGCTCGACCTGGAGAGGAAAGCGTTCCTGGAGCTGGTGAGGATCCACCAAGCCAAGTCAACAATCCTGGGCTGGCCCCTGGAAGTCATCCCTGCTCCCAGACCTGCCCTGCCTTCACCTTTTCCCTCCCTGTTCTATGCCCATTCTTTCCAGAGCTGCAGTTTGGCTGTGTCATGGTTCATGGAGCAGTAAAATTTGGGAAATAGGCAGAATGCAGCTCTGGGATCTTCCTTCGGTAGAGGAAGAGTAAAGTAAACAGAGTGAGGAGCACATATGCCTTTCCCTGGACTGGATTAAAGAATTCAGTTTACCCAAGTTTAGTCAAAAACCCCCACCAGCTGGTTTGAAATCCATTTGAAATATATGCTTATTTTTGATCCCTCTCAGTCCCTTTGGTTTTTAACTCAGCCACATTGATTGATTTGCTTATTTTCTGTGGGTTCTCATGATGAAATAACTTACATGACTATTACATTACTATTAGTTAAATGCTTGGTGATATACAGCCAGGGTTCTCTAAATGCCACCTAGAATTAAGGAGTAATTAAGGAACTGTCAACCAGATAATTCCTTACTGAAGTTGCCAACAGGGAAGGGATAGAAGAGTCTGCTTCCTATTAAAATATATAATTGGACACAAAATCTGTTGCTGTTCTTGTCTCTTGATTTCCTTAGATCGGCCTTTGAGAGCCTGAAATTGCCTCTACCATCCCAGCACTGAGAGCTCTTGGCTGTCTTGTAGTTCTTTCATGTCAAATGAGTATTGCTAAATTAATAGAAGTATCTCTGAGAAGATACTTTTCAAACAATATTTATCAGATAATATCTTGAATGGGATTTGTTCCCACTGGAGGTGTTCAGAATTTTACAGTATTTTTTATAGTACAGAATTTTTTATAGTTTTGTTCCTTGCATTTAAAAAAGTTGCTGGTTTTTCCACATCTGTCACCTCAAACCTTGTATTTACAGTACAGACTCTTTCTGGAGAGGAAAAGAACCCCATAACTTAGTTCAAATTCCTCTGCTTACTTAGTTTTTATTCCAAATAATGTTTTCTTTACTGTAGGACATTGCTCCTTTCAGTCATTATAGATACACAAGTACATGTATAGCTTATAAAAAAATAGAAATATAATAATAAAATCTATTTATTTATATATTTATATATATATATATATGTACAGGTCTATACAGACAAAAAACATACAGATATATGTATCATACTGTGGTCACAGAACAGGAAAAAATGTAGCCAGACTGAGATCAGTTCCAGCCACATGTTAAGCTTAAAGCAAATCCCCTTTATTCCTTAGGAATGGGGTTTAACTCTTGGCAGAGAAGTTGGGAACCCCAAAATTTTTAGTTTATAGTAGTAGAAAATACCCTTTGTTACCAACTACAGCAGCTCTGTGTCCTGAAAGGTGTTTTCTTGCCTGGGGGTTATGAAATGCAGGGTTGGGCAGTTGGCCTGGGATGAGCTGTGACTGTGGGGTCAAGAGCTGCTACTGGTAATGGAATTCCATTGATCCCACGGATGGAAGACACTGAAAAGTGTCCTCAGAAATAGCAGTTGGAATCTGATACAATGTGGGTGTGGTCAGGAAGTGAAAAAAAATTCAGGAAAATCACCCTTTAATGGATTGGAGCAGCAACATTCCCACTTTTGCTGCTCCTTGTCTGAGGCCACTCAGCAGCTGGAGCAGCCACGAGATCTCAACCAATCCCTCAGGATAAGGAATAGTAATAAATTAATCATAAATATGAAAATGGAATGTTCACCAAAACTCAAAGCAGGTGTTTGGTGTTGCAGGTGGAGCAGCTCAAGGAGGAGATCTGTGAGTACCACCGGAGTGAGAGGCCAGAGCTTCCACCGGCTGAGGGAGTCGGAATGGCCTCACTGCAGGTGTTTACAGGGTGTTTACTCCTTCTTTGCCATTCCAGAAAAACATAGTCCCCTCTGCATCCCAGACCCTAGCTATTCATGAGAACCTGGATGTTCTGGGGTTGGAGGATTTTGCTCCTCGGGCCAAGAGATGAAGCTGCCGTGTCTCATGTGTTTTATTTCTGAGAAACACAGGTGGCCTTGGAATTACTTTGCTCACACGAGAAAGATGTGGAGCTGTTGGAGCTGAGTGAGGAGGCCAGGGAGATGCTCCGAGAGCTGGAGCCCCTCTGCTCTGGAGCCAAGCTGGGAGAGCTGGGGGTGCTCACCTGGAGAAGAGAACCAGGGAGAGCTCAGACCCCCTTCCAGTATCTAAAGGGGCTCCAGAAGAACTGGAGAAGGACTTGGGACAGGGGTCTGGAGTGCCAGGCCAAGGGGAATGGTTTCCCACTGCCAGAGGGCAGGGTCAGATGGGATATGGGGAAGTAATTTCTGGCTGTGGGGGTGGTGAGGCCCTGGCACAAGTTGCGCAGAGCAGCTGTGGCTGCCTCATTCCTGGAAGTGTCCAAGGCCAGGTTGGATGGGGCTTGGAGCAACCTGGGATAGTGGAAGGTGTCCCTACCCATGGAACAGGATGAGCTTTAAAGTCCCTCCAGCCCAATCCATCCTGGGATTCTGGGATCTCAATCCTAGTTCTGTGCTAATGTTGATTTTCTCTCAGGCACAGGGCACGTGGGAAGAAGCAGGAGCTGATGGAGACACCGGTGCCAGTAGAACTGCCCCATATCAGAAACATGGAGATCAGGGTGTTGAAACTCTCCACAAGAGGTGAGAAGTACCCCATTTACTTCCACTGGTTCCTGGTGCTGTGCCTCTGGTGCTCTCTCTTGCAGTATTATTTGATTATTGAATTGTTTTAAATACTCTTTTAGACTTTGTTCCTCTGCTCCCAAATACAAAAATTTGGAGGAGATGCAGTCCTGAGGATTCACTTCTTCCAGTTAAATGCTGACACTTCCTCCAGTTTGTTGCTTTCCTAAAAGAAGAGAGTTAGGCTTTTGGGGCTGTCTGCAGACAGAAATGTTGTTATTAAACGTGTTTTGGTGCTGGGAAGTTTTCTTTGGGTTTGTTTGCTCTCTAGGAGTGTACCAAAACACGTGGCTTTCAACCATAAATGTATAAACAGGGGCTTATTCTAAGGGAATTCAAAGCTTTCTTCTCCCAATACCTGCTCAGGAGCTGCTGCACCTCTTCTGCCAGGTTCGGGAAGGAAGTCGGGGCTGATCTCATCCCTCTGGCTCTTTTCCCTTCAGATCCTCAAGCCTGTTCTCCACCTCAAGCAGCTGAATTTGCTGTTGCCTCACTGCTGTTGGCAGCCCCATACCTGACCTGTTTCCTGCCCAGATCTTCATCATTCCTTGTGTAGATCCCATCACCTCTAATTCCCATCTAAATAAAGACAGGCACAGGCCACACTGGATATGAGACTGGAAATCAGTAGGAGTGTATGAGGAAAACCTTGGCTTTTCCTCGCTGGTGGAAAGCAGTTGGGATGCAGTTCCAGCCTTGGTGATGCTGGGTTTTGGTGTGCAGGTGCTGTGAAGCCGTGGAGAACACTGAGGGCAGGAGTTCCCAGCTCCTTCACAAGCTGCAAAAACTGGAGCAGGAGCACAAGGGTTTGATTGAGCGCAATGAAGAGCTGGAATCAATTCTGGGAGAGACACAGATCCAAACCGAGCAAGAGAAGCAAGAGCTGGAGAGCGAGGTGGAGGGACTGCACCAGAAAGTGAGTAAGGAATAGGAGAGATAAGGTTTGGGTTTCTTTCATTCTATCTGCTTTTCTCTCTTATTGGAAAAACAGCATGATGTTTGACCTGGCCCTGCACTCTGCTGTGTTTAGTTTGGCAAGAAAAACAGCCAGAAGAACCTGCCAGTTTGGGAGAGAGGGAGAAGGAAAAAATCCCAGCAGGGAGTAAATGACTCTAGGTTGCAAGGGCAGATTCCCCAGTATTATGGCAGCGTTGTCTTTTCCATCTCCTGTTCCCCCTGACAGAATCCCAGACTGTTTTGATTGGGAAGGGACCCTTAAAGCCCCCTACCATGGGCAGGGACACCTTCCTCTATCCCAGGTTGCTCCAAGCCCTGTCCAGCCTGGCCTTGGACACTTCCAGGGATGGGGCAGCCACAGCTGCTCTGGGCAGCCTGTGCCAGGGTCTGCCCATCCTCAGAGGGGAGAATTCCTTCCCAATATCGCATCTGACCCTACTGTCTGGGACGCTGATGCTCCTTGATCCCAGGAAATACCACCAGCTAAGTGTCCTGGTGGCAGAAGATTACACTCTTGCTTTTCCCTAGGGACAGGATCTTGGAGATCTTGAGCAAGGGGTAAATTGTGGCTGAAGCCTCTTAGGCTGATGTTGCCTTTGTCAGGGTGGTTTTCAGCCTCAGTTTTCTGAGAAGACTCTCCATCCCTCTGGAGTAGCTCTGTGAGGAGCACTGGCACTACAGGCTGGGTTGGCACTGCTTCCCCAGGGAAAATTCAGTGTGGAGCACCACTGCCAGAGCACCTGATCCCTTACAGAGAAAGCAGCTGGGGAATTCACAACCAGAGAGAACAGAGGAAAACAGACTTTTTGGACTGGCCAGGTAGGTAGGTGGGATTCTCCCCACAAAGGCTGGCTGAGGAGGTCCTTCCCATGGGCTGAGACTCTGCTGCCTGGCCAGGACCTCTTCCTTGCTGGGGCTCTTGCCCTTTGCCCTCTGTCTGTGCTGGAAATTCTCTCTGCAGTGGGCCTGGATTGATTGATCTTTCCCGACTGGCAGCTGCACCAATCCAGATTGCCCCTAGGAGGTTTCTGAGGTGAGGTTTTAGCTGCCCCCGGTTTTCAGCGAGTTCTAACATGTCTTAACACCTGGTGTTGGGTTAAAACACCGTCGGAGACAGTGCCAGCGTATCCCACATGGATACACAGCTCCAAGCTGGATTGTTCAAAGGAAGAGATGAGGAATTCCCAGTCAGTAGCCTCTGGAAAAGCCTCTAAAAAGAGGCTGAAGGCAAGTTCAGATACCTTAATGAGGGTGCCAGTGGCACCATGTTTGTCTCCTGTCTTGGAGGAGCCATGGGCCAGCACTGGGATGGGATGGAAAAGGGTCCGTCCACCATGGCAGTGCTTTGGTTTGAGTTGAGGCTCGTTCAGTTCACACCAAACTCTTCCCCCTTGGACCAGAGTGAACACAGCCCCCCACAAATCAAACACGATGTGTTTTCACAAATCCCCGCTTTGCTCTGTGGGTTGTCACACAGATTGCTGGGAATGCCATGCTTGGGAGCCAAGGAGATATGAGGCATTTTGTCTGCAGAGGCTTGGCAGCTAGAAAATAACCATTTTGAGGGATGCAGGGCCATGGATCAGAGGTGGGATGGACGCCTATTTAACCCTTGGATAGATCCATCTTCTTAGCTGGAGGTTACTGCATTCCCAGGGGGCTTTAACAGCCCCGGAGATGAGGAGAGAAGAGTCTGGAGCCTGGGCAAGGCAGTGCTGGTGGGTGTTTGCCAGTCCTGCCCCAGCTGGGAAGGACTTGGGAGGGTTTTTGGTCCTGGCACGGCTGCAGAAACCTTGGCTAGTCAGGCTGTGACTCAGGACCAGGCCAGCAGGATACAGAGTGAGGATTGTTCTGCTGCTGGCATGGGATTTGGGAGCACAAATTAAGTGCTTAAAAGTTAAGGTCTTGGAGGGACAATAAAGAAATGCCTTGCTAAGTGGAAACTTCTGACCGAAGGCTGGCTGGAGGTGAGGAGGGGAGGTGTGTTTTGTATTTGAGATCCCTTTTGGAGCTCCAAGGTCTTGCTGAACCCCAAATTATCACCCAGTCACGCAAAAGGAGAGGGATTTGTTGTCCTTTAGCTCTTCTGTGAGAAGTCTGGGTGTTTCACCCCACTTTTAATACTTTTAACATTGGTGAGCTCATATCTTCGATTTAAAAAGCAGTTTTGTAGCAGCTTTCTTGTGAGTTGGAGACCATTCCCTGCTGGGAGCTCCAGCAGACCCAGTTGGTGCCAGGAACTCATCAGGGAGAGCAAAGCTCAGGGGCTTTGAGGTGCTGCTTTGGAAATGGGCTGGGATTGGCAGGGTCTTGGCACTTATTTGGCTTTGAGATTACAGTATAGAAGGATTTCTTGTCTGGGAGGGTGGGGAGGCCCTGGACAGGTTGTCCAGAGAAGCTGTGGCTGCCCCACTCCTGGAAGTGTCCAGGGCCAGGTTGAATGGGGCTTGGAGCAGCCTGGGGTGGAGGAAGGTGTCCCTGCCCATGGCAGAGGTGGAACTGGATGGGCTTTAAGCTCCCTTCCAATCCAAACCAGTCTGGGGTTCTGTGGAGATGGATTTCATCTCCCTCCAGTGTCCCAGCTCATTTCAGAGAGCCAAGCTCAGGCAGTTAGACAGTCCAGCCTGGGGATTTTAGAAATAAGCCCAAACTGGATTTCAAGCCTAAGGAATGAAAGGGAAGCTGTCCAGGCTCCTGCTGGCAGCGGAGCATGGGGGCTGCCACTGCCAAGACTTGGATTTTGGAAAAGGGTCTGTGGGATCCCTAATGGGGAAGAGAAGCTGAACTGCTGCTTTGGGATGATCCTTATCTGGGCTGCTCCGAGCTCCTTTGAGCCCTTTATAACTTCAGGACCAATAATTTTTCCCCCAAGGGCAGATGCCTTTGTGGGGTGATCCAAATGCAGAGTGAGACCTTGTCCAAACTCCCACCTGCCAGGAGGTTACAGAAGGAGCAGAAGTCAGTAGTCACTTCAGAGGTCATTGCTTTTGCTGTTCCAAATCCCAAGTCCTTGGAGCCCTTCTGGAGGGACTGAAAACTTCCTATGAGCAGTGAAGGGACCAGGATGAGTCCTGGTGGACCAGGCTGAAATCTGCTTGGATAAGATATCTTTTTCTGGCTTGAGTCCCGATGGCTCCTTCCTCCTTGGAAGCAGCAGGATGAGGGATGAGCTGGAGCTGGCCATGCACATCCTCTACTGTTCCTTGCTTCCAACATGGGCCTTATCCCGTAACAGCAGCACAAGGAGCACTCTAGGAGTAGTTGTGCATTTAGTTGTGAGTCCTGGTTTGGTTTTAACTTGGGTTTGTCCATATTCAGATCACCAGTTTGGAAACAGAGTTGTTTAAGGTGCAGAAGAACAAAAGTGAGATGAATGGAAACGAGCAGGTGACATCTGGAGCTCAGGAGATGCAGGAGGTGAGAGCTTTTCCTTGGGAAATGAACTATTCTGTTTAGAAATGTTTTAAATGAACATCTTAAATGAGTATCTGAAGTGACTCTCTCCTGGGGATGTTCTTTGTCACTCTCTCCTGAGGATTTGTAGCCCCTCAGATCATGCAGATGAATGGATTTTTGGAGGAATGCAGCCAATGTGATCTCCATGAGCTCTCCCCTTAGGAAGTTGTTTTCAGCTCTTCCATCTGAGGAGTTTGTTGTCTCCCAATGAGTTTGAAGTTTTTGCCTGTGTGAAGGTGTTCAATTCTTGTTTAGGGTTTATTGAAACCAAGGGGTGTGTAGGTACATTTAAAGCTGATTCTCATCAGGTTCTGGGTTAACTTTTCTGTCCATTTGTTCCTTGCCAGCCCAACAATTGGATCTGCCTGGTGTGTCAGCCAGACAGAGATGGGAAAGGAACTTCCCAAGTTGTTTTGGGTCAGTGGAGGTTCTGTGAGCCCTGGATAAGAGGTGTCAGAATTCCACTGAAAACATTTGAGAACCATTTTTCTCCTCTCCTTGTTTCCTAGAAGACACATTTCCTTCAATCTGCTTCTCTCTGCATAGAAAAACAATGTTGTGGAAGTGACTCTGAACATTTCTTGTTTCAGATGTTGGAAAACTGTCAGGAAACAATAGACAAGTTGGGGAGTCAGCTGGGAGAGAGGAGAGAACGAAGAAAGCAACTGGCATCTGAGCTGGAGTTGCTGCGGAAAGATCTGAAGGCTGAGAAGGTGGTTCTGGGCAGCCAGGTATGTTCAGCCCCTGTGGTGAACATACTGCAGGAGCCAGCTGCCTTTGGATTGTCTTGGTTTGAAAAGACAGGTATCTGCTAAGGAAGGCAGAAACCTCCCCGCCCCAAGAAAAGTAAACCATCCCCCCATGTCCAAATTATTATAATCTTGAAATCAAGGTGCTCTCAGGCAAAGGTATGGGAATAGGAATAACGGTTCTTTACTAAGGAAATTAAAATCAAAATGCAGTAGTACAAAAATAAACAAATCAAACCAAAAAAACAACAAAAAACCCCAACTCACTGACAGAGTCAGGATACAGCCTGACACCCTGTTGGTCAGGGTGTTGGTAGCAGTCCAATTAAGTGGTGGCTGCAGTCCTCCTGGAGTGACAGATGTGGTTCTGTTGAAGTAATGATCCCATAAAAGCATGTAGTTTTCCACTGAAGGTCCAGTGGTGTTGATGGGTCTGGTCTCTCTCCTCTGGGAATTCAGTGGAGAAAGGCTGCCTGTGGTGTTCTGAGTCTCCAGTTATATCCAGGTAGAAATGCTTGGCTTCTACCCCTTGGTGGAGCACCTCACGATGGGATGTTGGAATTTTATCAGTCATGCAGTGATTCAGTGGTCCATTAACAGAAGATATACCCCTTGAGGGAGGATGGGTTGTGGAAGAGATAAAGAACACTGCCCCACCTGCTTTTAACAGAGGGTGATAGAATACATACTTTTGGTTACATCTTGCATTGCAACCCAAGACATGGGTGCTCCATGAAGCATCCAAACTCATTCTCTGTCATCTCTTGATGCATCTCTCCACCCCAGCCCCTTTCAAACCTTTAGTAGAGGGTTTTCAATCCAGCTTTCTCATGGCATTGTCTCTAACTCCGGAATATACTTTCCTTTCAGCGAATCTAATACCAAATCAGTAATTCCAACTTTGTAGCCAAACCCTGATTCTCTGGAGGGCAGAATGGGAGTTTTCAGACTCGGGTATTGATTGCAGGAATTGAACACCCCAGAGATAAATGAACATCCTGCTGGGGTTTCCCCAAAGGCCTCAGCACACTTGGCTTGAACCAATTTTGGTGCTAAACCAACTCCTGGGGAGTTGCTGGAACTCCTGTATTCCAGCTGGGCTACAGGGGAGAGACAGTGAGCGGTCCCAACAAAATTGTCCAAGGGCTGCCAGGACAAGGACTGAAAATTAGAGTAAAAATGTAGGAGACTGGCAGATCCGTGGCCTGGACAAAGGGACTTGGCAATGGGAGACTGACAGTGGGGGGCATGGCCATGGCAAATCTCATTTTTTATCACTCTGAGAGACCTTAGATCAGTTTGTGAGTCCTGCCACTTCCTTGAATCCAAGTGAAAATCCACGGAAGTCCTGAGCTGTTGGCACAGCTCCACAGACTCAGGCGCTGCTGGAGGAACAGTGGCATCTAGAGGCCAGGGCTTAGTCATGCTGCAACAAATCCACACTGAAACTCGGAATCAGAGCTTGGGATGAAAACAGCCTGGCTGGGAGGAACAGGCTGGGTCAGTCTATCAGTACACATATGGAGAGGAATTGTCTGATCTGGGGGATGGTGGGGAAATGAGAGAGTCCTTTTTTAACCTTTTCTTCCCAGTAGTTCAGCCTACTCATGGTCCAGGGACCCTTTGTATCCAAATCATCCATCCCTGAAAGTCTGGTTGGAATTCAGCCACCCACTGGCCCATGGTCTCCCTGAAGGAGGGACTGTTTTCCCATCAAAGGGATCAGGAGGAGATGGAATCCATAGCCCTGTGTTAGACTGGAACAGCCTTTAGCATAGAGATCTTTGTATGTATTTGGTGGATTCCTGGTTTCCCACATGGGCTCATTCCCTTTGGATGGAGCAGCTATACTGCAATGAATCATTTCCCAGCAGTGCTGGAAACAAGCTTTGCATTAAATCATTGGGTTCTGTCACCTGGAAATCTCTTCTTGTTTTTAAGAGATTTTTGGACATTTGAGAGGGGAAATCTTTTCCTGAGCTTGTCCTTCACGGTGTGTTTCATCCACTGACTGTTGTTTCCTCTCCAGGGTTTGCCTGACTCCCACTTGGAGCTCACAAGCCACATAAACACCTTCCCAAGTCTTCAGCGAACATCAGCCAGCAGAGATGTTGTGGATGTATCCCAGGAGAAGCTAAACAAAGACAGTGCTTTGCTAGATCCAGAGGTGAGACATGGAAGGAATTCCCAGTTCTTGTGGTACCTGATGCAGGCAGGAGCTGCTGGGGTGTATTGCTCAAATATGAGCAAATTTGTCCTGGTGTAGATAAGGTGCCTTGGAATTGAAATACCAGGCAATACTTGGGTTTGAAAGCTCAGGAAGAGCGGTTGATTAAAAAGCTTTAGCAATCAAAGTTGGTGTTTAGTAAGAATAATGGTGTTTGTGTCTGAAGGATTTGGGTCCATCACAGCTGAGCAACAGGTCTGACACTGGGCAGGCTCCAGTTGTAATTCAGCTGGGAGTTCCTCTGTCCTGATGCATTCCTCCTTTCCTGCCCCTTTTATTTTCTTGGCATCTTCTTCTCAAGTCTCAGGTTCAGGGTGTGCTGTTACCTGGTGTTACAGGGTTAGGTGACACTGGGAGTGGAGAAGCCATGCCTAGGAAGGTGTTTGGGGTAGAATTGGAGCACCTCTGTGAGAGCCACCTGAAGCCACACTTTTTTCTCCTCCTGGTTTGCCAAGAGCTGCTGCTTTTGTAAAGAGTTTTGGCACATGCTGTAAATCCCTGGCAGCTGCAGATGTGCCACAGTAGGATGAAATCAAATAAAGAACCATGGTTTGGTGGTAGTTTAGACACAGCTATTTTCCATGCAGAAAAAAGGACTCACATGTGTCTTTGAGGGGGAAAGAACTGCAATAATTTAGCCACGGAATTACAAACCATGTCTTCCTGGAGTCCCCAGATTGTCCTGTATGGCTCCAAAGATTTCCGTCAGAGCAAAGGAAATCCAAGTCGTGGTATTTTCTGACCTTACAGGCCTCTGAAATCCTGCAAGACAGTCCCAAAGTGGAGCAGAAACAAGAAGATCCCCGTGCAGATGCAAAGACCTATGAGGAACAGATGGCTAAAGTAGTGTTTTTGGAAGAACAGATCAAAAACCTGAGGGAAGAACAAGAACTGCTCTGGTAAACCTTAACAAAGGCTGTGGCATTTTCTGCTCCTTGTCTTTGCTGACTCAAGTATTGAGTCTTTTCCAACTCCCCATGGGGCTGCTCCTGGCAAAAATGGCGTCTTCGTGTTGTCCTTGGATCAGCATCTCTGATTTTGGTGACTTTCCTTTGTGCCATCAGGATCACCCATGATTAAAGATTTTTTCTTTAGATATTTAGAAGCTCTTCCAGATTCTGAGCAGCCTAAATGGGAACTGACCTTAGCGGGGAGGATTCTTCTCTTGAAGTTGGACTAAGGGGGTCTCAGAAATCTCCTGTTGTGGGTTTGGGCTCCTCAGGGCTCACTGCTGGCAGCAGCTGGTGGTCCTAGTCCCACTGGAGATTTGGGTAGTCCTTGGAATTTGGGTGTCTTTTGAGGGGAGGTGTCAGCAGATGTTGGTCCAACTCCCCTTTTTTGAGTAGATCAGGACAAATTTGGAGCTGAAGCACCTGGGCTCAGGCTGTCTTTAGTAAACAAAAGCTTGGATTAAATCCAGTATGGTTACAGTGACCTGGGTTACTGGTGCTGGGATAAAGTACAACCAGGAGAAGGCAGTAGGGAGCTGCTAAGGAATCACTGAATCATTCAGGCTGTAAAAGCCCTCCAAGATCATTGAGTCCAACTGTTTCCCAACACTGCCATGTTCACCTTTAGCCCATGTCCCCAAGTGCCACATCCACAGGTTTTTTTGAACACTTCCAGGGATGGTGATTCACAGCCTGTGTCAGTGCCTGGACATCCAGGACACAATCACAGAATTCCAGACTGTTCTGGGGAGGAAGGGATCTTAAACTTCATCCTGTTCCACCTCCTGCTATGGGCAGGGTCACCTTCCACTATCCTGGGTTTCTCCAAGCCCCATCCAGCCTGGCCTTGGGCACTTCCAGGGATGGGGCAGCCACAGCTTTCATCTTGGATGGAGAAAATGGAGATGGAGTTCAGGTGATGAAAAGTCAGACAGCTGGACTGGGACACCTGAGCCCCTATTCCAGTGCTTCCCTGTGACTTTGAGTCCAGAGCAGCTCCTGGGTCTCTGTGAGGATTCCTTAGCCAGCCTGTAACCTCCTCCCAGGGAGAGCTGAGCCTTTGCATACACGTGGTTTTGTGGGAAATGTCCCAGGGAGACTGACCCTTGCCCAGGACTGCTGCACCCAGGATTGAATCCCCTTTGGAGCCTCCTGAAGCACTTGAGTGTTTCGCTGGACTCTCATCTCCCAAGTTTTTCCCCTTTAAGGGTGTTTTCCCTGGATTTGTCTAGTTATCTCTCTCCTTTCCTATTTCTCCTTCAAGCTCTGAATTACTAGAGAGCAACAAGAAGAAGGAGGAGCTGGAAAAGCAGCTCAAAAAGAGCAATGAAGAGAAACGGATGTTGCTTGAAGAAATTGCCCAGCTCAAATGTGATGTCCGGAGTGCCTGGGAGAAGGGCCCCAGCAGAGACACAAGGAGGATGACTCCAGGCTTGGAGCAGAGGGAGAACAGGTTTCTCCCATGGCAGAGCTCAGCAGACAGTTTAGAGGGGAGCCTGAAACAGGTATGGGCAGCTTTGCCATCTGCACCCTGCTTTTTGTCATTAATTGAGGGGGAAAAACATAATTAAAGTGGGCTGGAAGCCAGTCCTGTGGTGTGAGCAATGGTTGGAAATTAGGGATGTGTTCATTTCCTTGTGTTATGCTTTTGGATGTGGTGGTGACTTGGATAAACTGGACTGATTTATCCAGTTTAATTTTTAAACTTTAAAATTTTTTTTTAAATAAAAAATTCAATTTTTTATGGAATTTGTTCACCTTTCTCGCTTGGTGAGCAGAAAGAGAAAGGGAGGTGCAGGTGTCTCTGCTAAACAGGGAGGAAATGATGGAAGAACTCAGGATGGGGAGACTGAGGAGGAGCTCGGCTTCTGTGCAAAGATTTGGGAGAGAAGAGAGGACAAGGTTATCTGTATGGCCAGGGTGGGAATGAGAAGTAGGGGATTGGAGTCCGATTGTATCTGAGAAGCAAATCATCCATCGTCCAGAGCAAGACATAAGGAGTGCAGTGGACATGGGAAGGGATCCTGAGAGAAACAGGTGGGGAAATCCCCACAAAACCAATGGAGCCAATGGATCTCCAGGATGACTGACACTGCCAGATCCCACAGTACTGGATCAAGACTTTTCCCAGCTTGGGAAGTTACCTGGGGATTATCTGAGAAGGCAGATATGGTCTTCAGTGAATTCCATCTGGTCCCAAGGGCAGAGGGTGAAGATGCAAAGTGGGAATGCATATCCAGAGATGGCAGAAAGTGATGCTGGAAAGAAAGGCTTTGGTACAACCCAGGCTTTGGTGTGCGTGCCAGGAAGGTGAGCGAGCCAAGGAGATTGGTTATCTCCCAAGAGCCGTTGCAGACTCCTGGGTCTCCTTCCCAGTGTCCAGGCTCTGTCCTGTTGTGTTCCTGTCCTGCTGCTAGAACTCACCTTTCTTGTGTTCCTGATCCCTCTGGGAGCTGGGCTGGCTATGTCACTCCTGCATGGATGCCTGAGTGAGGCTCTGGTACAAGAATCCAAAGTGACCTAGTGACTTTGCTTTGATCGGACAGGTTTGTTTTAACAGGGATTTATTCCCTTATCCAGGTTATCATCTCTCCCCCCTCGCCTTAGGAGTTGTATTGGCTTCTCTGAGGTGATGGAGAGAATCATAGAATCACTGAGCTTGGAAAAGGTCTCTGAGACCATCAAATCCAACTATTAACGCAGCAGTGTGTGTTCACTGAGTGCCACATCCACATGGCTCTTAAAGCCCTGTGGGGACAGGGAAGGGAGCCAGACATAGTGTAGGGACAGAGAAATGCCAGACTTTATGCATCTTCCTGCCCAAATGCCCTTTAATCCTACTGGCTTTTGCCTTCCTTAATCATCTTTATCCTGCCTTAAAGTTAATTTCTGTGTGACTTTCTGCTGTTCCTGCAGGGTCTGTCTGAGGAGAGGTTCCAGCAGCAGGAGGAGAAGCTGCAGCAGCTGCGCCAAGACCTGCGGCGGGTGCAGAATTTGTGCAGCTCCGCCGAGAGGGAGCTCAAGTATGAGAGGGAGAAGAATGCCGACCTCCAGAGGCAAAATCTGCTGCTCCAGCAGGAATGCACCAAGGTAGGGACAGAGCCAGGCTCCCCAGTGTGCTCTGCCTCAGCTCCGTGGAAATTACGACTACGAGGGCTGGAGCCTGGGGGTGCTCACCTGGAGAAGAGAAGGCTCCAGGGAGAGCTCAGAGCCCCTTCCAGGGCCTAAAGGGGCTCCAGGAGAGCTGGAGAGGGACTGGGGACAAGGGATGGAGGGACAGGACAAGGGGGAATGGCTTCCCACTGCCAGTGGGCAGCGTTAGATGGACTATTTGGAGGAAATCCTGCTCTGTGAGGGTGGGCAGGCCCTGGCACAGGGTGCCTCAGAGCAGCTGTGGCTGCCGCTGCCTTATCTTCAGAAATGTTCCAGGCCAGGTTGGACATGGCTTGGAGCAACGTGGGGTAGCGGAAGTTATTCCTGCCCATGATGGGGGCTTGGAACCAGGTGATCCTTAAGGCCCCTTCCTACCCAAACTGCTCTGGGATTCTGTGACAAATTTCACTGCATCCAAATAAAACATACTTTACTTCTTCTGTGATTCCTCTTTTGCTCATTCTGGAATCCTGTTCCCCTTCCCTAGCCAAGCCATTCCAGCTGACTTATGCTGAAGTATAAATCTGATTCCTTTTCTGGGATCTCAGGTCAAAGCTGAGCTGAAGCAGGCCCGGGCCAAACTCTCAAACACCACAGAAACATATTCCTCCCTCTCAGCACAGTGGGAGAGGAGCCAGCAGAAGGTCAAGGAGCTGGAACTGGAGCTCTCCAAGTGCTCCCAGGCTGATAAGCTCCAGAGCAGCCTCCAGGAGAGGCTGGCCCAGGAGAAATCCAGAACAGGAGAAGCACAAAAGAAGGTGAGTATAAGCTGGGGTATGTTTGATAATTCTGTGCAGCTCTTGTGCAGAAAACAAGCAGGTTTGCTTCCCCAAATTCCTTTCTGCGATCCCTCGGCTTGCTATTGTAGGAAAAAGCCTGTAATTAGCAGGACCATAATCAAGGCAATAGAAGCCATGTCTGATAACCCAATATCTCTGAAATACTGATAGGGGGGCTGGCAGGCACAGGGAACCCTGTCTTGTTCTTGCTTAGGAGATTTCCTACTGTTTACTGGTTGGAAAATTTCAAAACCTTGTGTTTTCCATGGCACCGGTTCTGCTGTGCTTCTGCAGAAATAATTGGATTCTCTTTTAAAGTTTTCAGGATCAATTTGGGTCAAAAAGAGATTGGTGGGAATTCATGACATACTGTTTGGTCCAAAATCCGGTAGCCGTTCCAAAGGTTTTGCTTTTAATGGACTTAGAGTCAAAACAAGGAAATCTTTCCTTCCCATGCGTCAGACACTGGGGAATCGGAGGGATCTGATTCAGGGACTGGCCTGTATATTCAGAAAGTTTAATCTAAGTCCACTTTAATCTAAGGTCTCAAAACTCCAGCAAAAGCTGAAGGATTCCCAGCACCAGCTGCTGTTGGCAGAGGCCCGTGTTTCTGATAAGAAGCTTCTGGAGGAGGATCTGAAGGAAGCTCGGGAAAATGAAGCTCGAGTACAGCAGGAGCTTCACGAGGAGCAGCTGAAAAGGTCTCTGTGCTGTGTGGGGGCTTTGCCAGCCCTCCATCAGCTCCTGGCTGCCCTGGGAGGGTTCAGGGAGACCCAAACCACTGCTTTGACCTCCCGTCTTCCCTTTGGACCTGCCTTATCCCTGGATCTCCAGGGATTCCCCCTTCCTGAGATTTAAAAGATTATTGGAGGCTTCATCTGTCTTGGAAGGGCCGTGGCCTCTCATGTCAGTACAGTGATGCCAACAGCCTCCTTCCCTGGAGGATGATATACTGGAAATGATCCCAGTATATCATCCTCCCTTTCTGTATCACTGGGACATGGGGACAACTGGGATGTGCTGATTCCTCTGTCCCCTCCATGTCAGCCAGGGCAAGAGGAGAGCAGGGGGTGTTCTGGCTGACAGACAGACACCTTGCGGGCAGGTGGCACATCCCCCTCCAGCTCTCACTGTCACCTCATCGTGTTTCCAGGAGGCTCCTGGAGCAGCAGGTGGATGAGCTGCGGCAGCAGCTTTGGCATTCCAGGGAGACAGAGGCGTCACTCGCCAAGATGCATGTGGAGCTCCAGGCCAAGACCCTGCACGTCCTGGAGGATGAGAAGAAGCTGGATGCTGGTGAGGTGAGTGATGGTGAGGGGGTTCCTCATCGTACATCATGAACTGGAATGTGCTCCTTGGGAGCTGCTGCAATCAGGAACATCTGATCAGGGGCTGAGCCCTTGCAGATCTCACTGGTTTCAACAGGATCTGGAGGAAAAGCAGTGTCCCGTTGCCAGTTGGTTTCTTGGGATGTGGCTCTGAGGGCACAGGAAGGCTTGGTAGTTTCTTCCTTCCCTTTGTCTTGCAGAGATTGGAGTTTTTGCTTGGAAAATTTTAGCAGAGTCCTTTGTCTGGGAGGGTTCATTGCCTCTCTCTGCAAAAAAATCCCACTGCTTGTTAGGGGTAGGAGGGAGTGGTCTGGGGGCTGGCTGACTGGATACTGGCTGTAGTGGGAACCACTGGGATTGATGAGAGAGAAGCTTTGGAGACGAGGCAGAGGGGCCCCTCCATCTGGGGCCACACGCACACGGGTTAAAAATAGCCCTTTTCCAGCATGTGCAGTGCCAGAAGGAGAACCAGAAGCTCTCAGAGCAGCTGGCACTGCTGAAGGAGGAGAACAAAGCCCTGTATGAGGAAGGTGTCCGACTCCTGAACCAGAAGGATCTCTATGTCAGGTAATGTCCAAAAACCTGCTGTGTGGTGTGGACTTTCCTATCCAATGTTCAGGCTTTTAGCACTAAGTCCACTAGTCCTGTGTGCAGTGAGCTCCTCTCCCCCACCATGTCTGCTGTCGGGCAATTCCAGAGAGGTTTGAGTGGGAAGGAACATAAAAGCCGATTCTGTTCCAACCCCTGCCATGGGCAGGGACACCTTCCACTATCCCAGGTTGCTCCAAGCCCCATCCAACCTGGTCTTGGGCACTGCCAGGGATGGGGCAGCCACAGCTTCTCTGGGGCACCCTGTGCCAGGCCCTCACCACCCTCACAGGGAAGGATTTCTTCCCAATATTCCCAATATCTGACCCTGCTCTCTGGCAGTGGGAAACCATTCTCCCTTGTCCTGGCACTCCAGACCCTTGTCCAAAGTTCCTCTCCAGCTCTCCTGGAGCCCCTTTAGGCCCTGGAAGGGGCTCTGAGGTCTCCCTAGAGCCTTCTCTTCTCCAGGTGAGCACACCCAGCTCTCCCAGCCTTCCTGCTCTCCTTGGTGGGTGAAGGCAGCACAGGAGGATGGTCTGCGTGTTGGTTGAGGTCTGGTATCAGCAAAGACTCTCCATGAAGCTGTTCCTTTCTCCCCAGAGCCCTTTTGGTTAATTTGAAGCAGAGTAGCTTTTTCTTATCATGAATTTTGAGCAAACTTTGGCAAATACCCCTTACATGGTAGATATTTCTTTTCTTTTTTGTTATTATTTTCCCTTCTATCCCAAATGGATAAAAATAGACAAGAAGTGTGCCCAAATTGGCAAGAGAGGAAGAGTAAAAATCAGAGGTGTCAGGAGGGAAAAATACTTGTCCCCAGTGTCCTAACTCAAGCTCACACTGAAGTGGCTCTTTTTGCTCCTCTTGGCCTGTCCATTGCTGTTCAGAATTCTTAATTTTCCAACCAATGTTTGGATCTGGCATTTGGGGACATGGTTAGTGGGTGGCCTTGGAATGCTTGAAGGAATGGTTGGACTTGATGATCTTAGAGGGTTTTCCAAAATTTTCTTCCCATTCAATAGTCATTCCCTTAACCACATCCCCACCAACAAAACCAACTTATCCTTGCCTTGGAACTTCGGGTTTGGCGCGCTTATAATCCTGTTTGTTATGAAGAGCTGCGAGGGACAAGCGCAAGGATTCGTAAAGCTGGGAGTCACTTTTGGAAATGCTTTTGGTCCTTTTCTGTTATCAGTTTCCATTTAATTGACACTTAAAAATTAAAGTTTCCAACAAAAACACCCCCAAACTGATCAGTGAAAGCATCCAGACAGTCCATGTGCTCGTTCTGGGCAGGATGGAGGAGCTGGGGGATGGCTGAGAGTCTGAGTTTGAACTTTGAGGCGCCTGAATAAACCCAGAACATTCTTGCCTGGATGGTGACCCTGAGCAAAAGTGCCTTTCAGGGCTTGATGGTTGTCCCTGCTTTCCCAGGAAATACAATGAGATGCAGCTCCGGCACAAGGACAAGATGCGCAGGGCCAAGGAGACCTTCATCCACGAGGTGAAACAGAGGGACAGCAGGATCAAACAGCTGGAAAATGAGCTCAGTGAGTTGAAGCTCCAAGTGGAAAAGGTGAGAGGACACATACGGGGCTTCTCCTGCAAGGGGAAGGAAGCTGCAGGAGCATCGCTGCTTCCAAAAGTATGCCCTGGTGGCCAAGAAGACCAACAGCATCCTAGCCAGTATCGAGAACAGTGTGGCTGGCAGGAGCAGGGAGGTCATTCTTCCCCTCTACTTGGCACTGGCGAGGCTGCATCTTAAGTGCTATGTCCAGTTCTGGGCCCCTCAGTTTAGGAAGGACGTTGAGACTCTCAAACACGTCCAAAGGAGGGCAGCAAGGCTGGTGAAAGGCTTGGAACACGAGCTCTGTGAGGAACTTCTGAGGGAGCTGGGGTTGTTTAGCCTGGAGAAAAGACTCAGAAATGACCTTATAACTCTCTACAATTCCCTGCAAGGTGGTTGTAGTTAGGTCGAGGTTGGTCTCTTTCTCCAGGCAGCAACTGACAGAAGGAGAGGACACAGTCTTAAGCTGCACCAAGGGAAATGCAGGTTGGATATAAGGAAAAAGTTTTTTATTGAAAGAGTGGTAAAGTACTGGAATTGTCTGCCCAGGGAGGTGGCGGAGTCACCATCCCTGATGTGTTTAAAAAAACACTGGATGTGCCACTTGGTGCTATGGTTTTATGAGGTTTTAGGGCATGGGTTAGACTCAATGACCTTGAAGGTCTCTTCCAACCTAGTGATTCTGTGAAAATAATCGTGGATTCGGGGGATGGTGTGAATTGAAAGGGACATTAAAGCTCATCTTGTCCCACCACCTACCATGGGCAGGGACATCTTCCACTATCCCAGGTTGCACCATCCAACCTGGCCTTGAACACTGCCAGGGATTGGGCAGCCACAGCCAGGGACTCACCACTGTAACAGGGAACAGTTCTTCCCAGTATCCCATCTAACGCTGCCCCCTGGCAGTGGGAAGCCATTCCCCCTTGTCCTGTCACTCCAGGTCCTTGTCCAAAATCACTCCTTGCAGGAAGGGACCAGGGGCACCAACCTGTAGCAACAAAAAGCCAAAAAGAAATTCCTGGCTCAGGATTGCCCTGGGGGGAAGCCACATCCTCAAATCCCAGTCAGACACTGGCTGAGCTCCATATTCCTTTGCCTCAGCAATTCCTGCTGGAAAGTGACCCCAGAGCCTCTTCCTGGGTTATTTTACATTGACAGGGTATGAAATTGCAGAGTCGTTGAGGTTGAAGACCTTTAAGGTGAGGATCTTCATCAAGTTCAACCATCCACACACCACCACTAAACCGTGTCCCTAAGTGCCACATCCACACGGTTCTTGAGCACTTGCAGGGGTAGTGAGTCCAAGGTTTTAGGAGCTGGCACCCTCGATGGTAGTCCCTTGGAAAAGCCCTGAGGTTTGCAGAGGACAGAAAAGAATCAAGAGTAACTGGTGGTTGTTCTTTCTTTCTCCACCACCCTAAGGGAAAGGTGCTGATTTCCCAGATCACTGCTGAGAATGAGAAATTACTCCAGGAGAGGCGACGGCTCCTCCAAAAAATATCAGACCAGGAGGAGTCCCCTTGGAGCCTCTGGTCTGGGATTCCTTCCCTGCAGAGCAGGTAGGCCCCTGCTGATGTCCATCCACTGGGATTCTCCCTTTTCCTGGTTTTGTGCCTCTTTCTCTTAAGAATTCCAGAGGAAAGTCTGGACTGCGCCCCAAGCCATTGATGCAGTAGCTTTTATGGCTGTAATTAGCATTGTAATCACTCTGTTTTCCCATCCAAGACCTCTCCATTGAGCCGGAGGCTGTGGAGAGCAACAGCTCTGAGGTTGGAAAAGAAAATTCCTGTTTGAAAATGGAGCATGGCTGGAAGGAAAATAACTTGTGCTTTGTGCCATGCCCAGAGGAAAGATCCTGGAGGAGACGAATGCCCGGCTGCAGGACAAGCTCCAGCTCTCCAGCCATGTGGCCACATCCCAGTGCCTTGCCAGGAGCAGCCCCACCCCCAGAACAGAGGTGAGACTCTGGGAGGGCTGGGATCAGCAGGAATCATAGAACGTGATGCCTGAGGGTCTGAGGAAGAGCTGGATCCATCCTTTGGGATGGAAAGGCCTTCCATATGGTAGGTGGCAACTACTGTGCTGTGAGCTGTGGGGAGGAGAGGCTTTGTGAGAAGCTGAGGGTTCCATACACTCAGCCCCTGCTCATCTCTGAGCTGCTGCCCATGGGATCCCCTTCCACAGGAATGGGAATCTCACTTGGCACATTTAGAGCTGTTCAGAGGCTTCATTTGTAAAGTTGGCTCTAGGAAAGGAGAACCAACCCTTCGTGTGAGATTGGGAATATTCCCCCTGCCAGGGGGGAATATTCCTCCCTCAGGCCAAGCTGAGCAATAATTCCTGAGTTGAGTGAAAGTACTGACCATGTTAATGAGGAACTTTGGCAGGAAAAATTGAGAAAATCCAGGAAATCAAAGAGTTTTCAAATCAACCAGGTGGATTTAGGAGTTCATTGGGAGTTGTAATTTGGAAAGAACCCAGGTAGGTTGGAAATGAGCTGTTGAGGGGGAAAGGGCTGTTGGGGGCCCACCTGGCCTTGGTGGGGCTTGGTTTGGACTTGTAGCATAAATTTACACCCAAAGGACAACTAAATCCCTGATTAGCACCTCTGTGGGGCTGCAGTTGGTGGAGAGGACTCTCAGTGAAGCTAGGGGAGAGCTTGGAAGACCAGGAATTGTTGGAATTCAGGGTCTGACCTGTACCTCCTCCTTTCAAAGTCTCTGTTCCTCCTTCCAGGATTTGAAGATTGTTCCTGGCTCTGAATGCCAGCCACAGAGTAAGGTGTTGCCACCTCCTCGTGCCAGGTACCGTGGTGGGGAGGGGGAGTCAGGGAGGAGCCGCTTGAGCATTTTGGCTGCTCCACCTTGTGCTTTCACTTCCCAGAGGCCTTTTTTGTTAGTTTTTGGTCAAATTTTAGGGAAAATGGTATTAAAATGGCATTAAAATGGTATTAAAATCAGTCAGCTGATGGGATGGAGAAGTCAACTTTTTGGAATATTTTCGGGAACACGATGGGATTTAGGAATCTTGGTGCTCAGTGGCTTTGGAGGAGTCTTTATACAAGAGGTAGTGAGACTTGGAGTCCTAGTACGGCCAGAGCTGTGTCCCACATCACTCTGGGATGTGTTCCTTCATTCCAATCCGTGCCAAGCCAGATGAGGGGAAGGCAGCTCTGGAGATGCAGCTCAGGGGGTTTGGTCATAGCCGCAGGCACTGTTGGGGTGAAGGATGGTCTGTGCAGGTTCTGGGCTGGCTGAGGGTGTCCCTTCCTTGGATGGATGAGGAGCCTTGATCCAAGAGAAAAGCATCGTCCTGTGCTGCTCAGAGGTGTTGGGTAAGGGTCACCCAGACTCCACAGAGTGACAGAAAATGGAAATCTGTTTCCAGCTTCCCACCCCGAGGTCTCCCAGAGCCCCTCGGTGCCCTGAAGTCCCCACAGAACATGAAGCCTGAACATGAAGGAGAGGCCGAGAGCCAGGATTCTTCCTTCTGCCTGTCCCCCTCACAGCCTTCGGATATCGGATACCTGAATGTGGCCTCTCCTGGTGATACCACGGTCCCCATGACCTCACCGCTGCAGGACGAGAGTCGGAGCCTTGGCTCCGAGAACAACTGAGCTGGGAATGTTGGTGCAGCCTTACCTGAACTGCAGGATTTGGGCTCCTGGGGCCGTGGGACCATGAGCTTGCAAATAGAATTGCCAAGTGGACTGACCCCACAATTTCTGGGATATATTCCAACTAAACGATTCCAGAGATTTTTATTTTTTGTTTTACTTGCTCGCCTGTAAACGTGTGTGTGATCCCAGATCCACTGGAGGCTGGAATTTGTAGATAAACTCAGTACAGTGGTAGAGGGGTGGGGTGAAGAGCGTCTTCCTTCAACCCTAATTGTCTGTCCAGTCCAAATCTATAAATTTCATAGATAAAACTTGGAGAAGTTCCCCTTTTACCCTGTGCCCACAATCCATGCCCACACACTGTCATTCCCCTTTTTCCATGCTCTCAGCATTCCCTTTGCTTTGTGCAGAGGTGAATGGGATATCTGAGCACTGGGGAGAGGATAACTAGTCATTCCCTGACAGCCTTGGAACAGTCCCAACCTGAGTCAGAGCCTGAGTGGAGCAGCACCATTGTTGCTGGAGTTTTGCAAACAATTTCCAAAAGTTTTGGCTAACTTGGATTCTGGTCAGGACAGAAATTTACTGATGACTGAAGCCAGTCATCTCCTGATCCTGCAAACACCAGTGCCATGGAGGTCTCCTGTGCTGCAGCTCTGTGCCTGTGTAGGAACGAGGCCCACAGTCTGAGATAAGGGATTTCCATTGGATACGTGGTGATGGGAGTACCTGGGTGTGATCACCTGCTGAGGGAGTGGTGGGTTACCAGGCAGAGGCCAGATAATCCCTACCCTTGGAATCTGGCAGGTGGAAGAGGGAGGGCTGCTCAGGTGTCACATTGTGTTCTGCCCTTGCCAAGATCCAGAGCCTTTGTCATCTCTCTCGTTACGACTCTTGATGTCACTCATTTCCAGATAAATTGGATGGTCCTCCCTCCTCCCCAAAGCATGGAGACCCCTTAGCAAAGATTTGTGCCTCCAGATGCATCAGAGAATTCCTGGGAGCGTTCGTCTTGTGCAGCTTTTATGGGTCCAGTGCATTTATCACTTTTAGTCTAACAAGAGTCTGTAACCTGCTGCTCCAATAAACTGCACTGTTGGTGAATTTGTGTTTGTCATGTGATCCTACTGGATGTTACCAGACCTGCCTATCAGGAATTCAGCCCTGCTGTCCCCAGGCCCTCTGATCCCTCAGGACCAGCTGGGACACCGGGTTTGTTTTCTGCCAAATTTCTAACTTGTAACACAGCAGTTCCCAGTATCCGTGTAAATAATTCTAAATCAATTTCCATCCAATTTTCCTGTGTGCTTCAGCACCAGCTGTGGGAGACCCATCAGAATAGGCAGTGGCTGGGTGGGGGCAGCCCCTTGAAATGACGAGTGCAGCCTCCTTCCCCTGTAGAGTGATGCCTGGGGCCAGGGGGATGTCTGTGTGGGGCTCTGCAGCCCCTTGGTGACACATGTGAGGTCACAATGGGACGTTCTGCCTCCATGGAACCATAACACCCACTTCTCTGAGAGCCAGAGACCAGCCCAGCTGTGGTGCCCCACCATCCCACCAGGCCAGGAGACGAAGAAATCAGGCACGAGGAGCTGCAGCCATGACAGAGCTTTTCCCTGGCTTCCTCCTCGCACTGTCTCCGGATCTTGTGTACTTCCAGAAGGATGGTAAAGCCTTGAGATCCCCAAGGTCCTGGCATCCTCCTGCCCCTGGGGGTGGGAATGTGTTGGTGGCTTTGCCCAGGGAAAGGGTCCCTTTGGAGAAGGGGATCTGACATTAGGAAGGTGAGGAGGGGATGATAAACTTTGTAACTTCAGCATGGCCCTTTCTCTTCTTCTGACAGAAATCATTAAAGTTTGGGACTGTGTGTCTGAGTGCTATCGCCAAGACCTGATGCTGAAGAAGGTGGGGCTGGTTTCCTCATGGTCTTCCCTCAGACCATGGGGGCTTCCTGATCCTTCCCCATCCTGCCTGGCCCTCACCTAACCTAGAGGGCAGAAACACCCCAGGCAGATTCTGCATTTTAGCCAGAGACCCATTGTGAGTGCAGGCAAGAAGTCAAGCGCTGCTTGAGTAGAAGAACATCGGATTTCCTCTTTGGAGTCTTCCCCAGGATGGATGGAAAGGAGGGAGGCCCAGGCAGTGCTCCTGCACTCCTTGGGCCTTCCCAGGCTCCGGGAGTTTCTCCCATATATCTTTCACTCCAGATGGTTCCTCACTCCCTCCTCTCCAGGATCTGCAGGATTTGGCACTTCTCCAAAGCTTTCCTTGGGGGCTCCATCTCAGGCCTTGGAGCTGCAGGGATGGAAAGGCCACAGATCACCCTTAGCCTTCCCTTCTGTTTGCCCTCTGATTGCCTGCTTTTGCTTCCAGAGAGTTGGACTGATGGGCCTGGGTACCATCCACGTTATGAAAAGGCCTATCTGGCATGGAGAAGGGGAAGGTTTCATGGCCGACAGTCCAGAGTTCAATCTGAGCAAGCCCTTTTTGGTGGGGAAGAAGCTCCTCCATGGGAAAAGCCCCGTGCCTGGTAAGATGAGCCCTTCAGCCCTGAGCTCCCCCTGGACAGGGATGGGTCCCTCCAGCAACCCCTCCAGGGCTCTCTGGGTGCCCACAGTGTGCTGGCTGCTGCTGGAGAGCTCTTGGAGGTATTTCTGAGACTCTCCTGGCACTGAAGAGGCTGATGATCCCCACCACTTTGGGAAGATTCCTGCTGGCTCCCACAGCCACCTGAGAGGTTCTGCGAAGCTGGAACACGGTGGTTGAGCTGGCAGTGCAGGGACAGGGGCTCATGGCACAAAAGCACGACATTTGCTGCTGGGTGAAGAGTCACTGTGGTGGGAGGGGGTTAGTGGGCCCCCAAGGGCGTAGTGAGTGACTTTGTGTTGCATGTTTTTTCAACAGGGCTCTCCAAAGCAGATGAGTTAATCTGTGCTGAGGTCGCCTTGCGCCTGCACAAACCCAAGGCCACCATCGTGACGTGCATCAAGGCCACGCTAAAGATCTGTGAGTGGGCCTTGTCCAGTGGCCAGAACTTCGACTTTGTGTTCAAGGACATTGGCATCCTGGTCTGCCGGGGAAACCACGTGGTCATGAGGTTCTTTGAAGACTTGATCCGGGAGGTGGCTCAGTCACAGTGCCTGGCAGAAGGTTTGCTCCAGGTGAATCTGGCATGTAATTCACATGCCCTCAATCTCTTGGGGACGCAGCCGTGGCCTTGGGAAGCTTTCCATGATTCTGGTAACTGAGCCTGCCCTCCTGTTCCCAGGAGGGAATTAGCCCTGGGCTTTGGCTCCTGTGGAGAGGCTGCTGGCGTGGCCGTGTTGTCCTAGAGTGCCGAGGTGGTGGAGATGCTCATGGATTTGGGACGATGTAGTGGCACAGGGTGGTGGAGAGAGAGCTGGGGGTGGGGGTTGAGGAGGGGCAGCTGGGGCTGGGAGTGGAAGAGGGGTTTCGTGTGTTGTGAACAGCAGGTAAATTCCCTGTGGGTCCTGCCATGTCTCTGTCCCTGTTGCAGTCACCAAATCTGAAGCCATTATTCATAGGCCACATGGAAAAGGACATTTCCCAGATCCCTCCTGGAGGTGTTTTTGTGCTGCCACAGTGAGTGCAATTGTTTCTGTACATGGTGGGGTGATAACCAGCAGCAGCTTTTGGTCCTGGCTTCTCCTGTGTGGGAGGAATCCTTGGATGGGTTTAGTTTTGGAAGTGGAATTGAATTTGTGCAAGGTCCATGGACATTCTGGCTCCTTTGGGGAGTGTCTTCAAGTGGATTCCCTGGGAAGAGGGCTTGCTTTACCTTCCCACCTCTGTGGGAATGACCCCGGAGACACAGTTGGGGGCCATGGGGCAGACAGCTTCACCAGCTTCTTCTTTTTCCCTTTGAGAAGGACTGAGAACAAACAGACCCCAGAACCTGGGATGTTCTCAGTCACCACAGCTTTGTTTTCCCTGGAAAGCATCTCTGGCAAGTGGGATCCCAGACCTGGCTGAGAGGAGCCCTATGGACGGAGACTCTCGTGTCCATGCTCCAGTGTTAATGTTTCCTTTGGAAAACTGGATGCCTGGGAACAGGTTCTTCCTAGAGGCTGCCATGGACTCTGCTGCCCTTATTCAAACTGGTGTCACCACCTTCTTTGCAGCTTTGTGCAGGCAGATGGGAAGTCCCAGTCACATCCTATAAGTGCTTCCCTACAAGGCCCTGGAACCACAAGCAAAACCAGCACCAAGCGCCAAACAACTCCGGGTATGTTTCCTTCTAGGAACTGACATCTTTCATGCCAAAGGGAATTCTGTCTCCTGCCAGAAAAGTGTCCCATCAGGTCCCTCTTCTTCTGAATGGGGACCCAAGGAAGCAGTGAGACGGGACTATGGAGCAGCACAACCCTCAGGGAAGGGGACTAGGCTGGGACAGGAAGTCTGGGAGATCCCTCATGTCCAAAGTGTTCTGGAGATGCAGTTGAGAGGAGCTTCCTCTTTTTTTTCATCAGGGAACCTTCCCAGCCAACGCCTCTCTCTTCATCCGCGTCTTTCTCCAAGTCAGATTTATGATGTGAAAGCAATGGGAAGAGAAAAGAAAAAGAGTGATGGTGGAGTGCAGAGAGGGAGGTGAGAGTCTGGAAGAGCTGCCGTTAGGCAATTCTGTACTCCTGGACAGGTGTGAGGAGCTGTCACCTTTGGCCATGCTGCCTGTACTTACGGAGAGCAGATCTGGGCACATGCCCAAGGCCTCGGCCCTTCCTGTGGCATGGGAAGTGGACAGCAGCGTTTTGAAGAGGCCTGGAAAACACATTGGAGAAGATGCTCTCACTGTTCTCAGACAAAACACTTGTGTGGTGTTTCTGCAGTTTGCTGCTTCCAATTGAGAACTCTGTGAAGAAGGGCAGAGCCACCAAGGGGATGGAAGCACCCAAAGCTGGGCTGGCAGCTCCCACCAGGCAGCAAAAACATGTCCAGGTGATATGGATGTAGGATCATGTCCTGCATCACTGCAGGGAGGCTGTTGGAAGATTCCCTTTGAATGTGTCCGTTCCAGGATGTCTTTTGGGTTCCATCCAGTCCTGGGAACGACTTCATCACCTCTATGGTGTCCAGACTTCATCATGAAGCAGACGGACAAGCCAAGATCTCTGGGGAAGAGAGGAGGGATTCAAACTGTCCCTTGGATCATGGGCTGCAAGATGGGACCCTTACTGTTGCCAGAATGTCTGAGCTGCCTTCCCTTTGCTTCATATAACAGCTTCCACCCCTGGCAGAGCAGAAGCGTCTGGGGAAGGCTGCTGCCTTCTGTCCTGGAGGATTTGAAAGGCTCAGGAAGGAGAGAGCGGCTGCTGTGGCAGGAGTGACTGCTGCTTTGTCCCCAGAGAGAAAGGAGGGGAAGACACCATCCCCTTGTGGAGGACGACCACAGCCAAGGTAAGAGTGTGGCAGCACCTGTCAGGGCCGGGGGGTTGAGCAGGTGGGAGGGACCCCTTTGGGATCATGGAAGTGGAGCTCTGAGGCCTGGGCTGGATATGGTACCTTGGACATCCCCTGACATGGGCATGCCCTGGAGTAGCCCCTGATTCTGGTGTCCCATGTGCCCATGCTGAAGGCAGTGGTGGGGCCAAAGGGAATGTGGAGACAAGAGCAGCAGGAGCTGGGCCAGGCAGGATTCCAGCCAGGGAGTGAGAGGGGAATCCGTCCTTGCCTTGCAGGACTCCACGAGCAAAACAGGTCCTCCTAAATCGGCAGCCGTACAAAGTTGCCCGGGAACAGTGCATGAAGGCCTTGCAGATCAACAAGTTACGGGAATGGTCCGGTGACGATTCCCTCGGTAAGTATTTCCTAGCACTGGATGCATTTTCCTGTGGCATCACATTCCTCCCCTGCCTGGCAGCAGCCCCTGTCTGTTCTGTTGTGGGCGTGGGGGGTCCTGGAGCTGTCCCTGAACCAGACATGCCTTCCAGTGCCAGGTGGCAGCCTCAGGCAGGACGGGGCAGGTAGGGACATGAGTGGGCTCCTCTGCTGTCTGGTCTGGCCTCTCTCAAGTCTTAGGCTGGTGGGGCTGGGTCTGCAGGGCAGGGGTGTCTGGGAGATTACAGAACCTCCAGGAGCAGACCTGGTGAGCAGAAGGTCTCCACCCTCCTCCTTGTAACTCCCGAATCCTGAACAGCTCCTGATCTACCTGAGCTTGGTGAAGCAGCTGGAGGTCAATGAAGAGAGAACAGCAGAACTCCATGGACATGGGGGCAGCCACACAACACCATGGAAAAAGGAATAAAGACCTAGAAATCTCTCACTTTGGTGCACGAATTGCTGCTCCACAAGAGGGATTGAGCCCCCGGTCGGGGCAACAGTGTTTGGTGATCTAAATGGGACTGGTAGACATGGACAACTCCAGCCACAGAATGCCAGGAATGGTGAGGTTGGAAGGGACCCCAAGTGGCTCATCTGGTCCTACCTTCCCACTCTAGCAGGGCCATCCTAGAGCACATGGTACAGGATTGTATCTGGATGGGTCTGAAATATCCCTGGTGAGGGAGACTCCACCCCCTCTCTGAACCACCTGTTCCGGGCTCAATTCACTGCACAGCAAAGTTCTGTCTCCTGTTCAGAAAGCTGTAACTTTCTGGGCATCAGTTCCTATTCCCCTTGTCCTACCGCTGGGCCTCCTGGAGCAGAGCTTGGTCCCTGCTCTGAGGCCTCCTTGCAGACAGGGACAGACAGGGATGAGGGCCCCTCTCAGCTGTGTCTCCTCTCGAGGCTGAACAGCCCCAGCTCCCTCAGCCTTTGATTGGCAGAGAGATGCTCCAGGCCCTTCCTCATCTCTGCAGCCTCCACCAGCCCCACTCCAGGAGCTCCGTGTCCCTCCTCTCCTGAGGAGTCCAGAACTGGACATAGCACTCCATATGTGCCTCCCAGGGCTGACCAGAGTGGCAGGAGCACTCCCTGACCTGCTGGCAATGCTCTTCCTGATACCTTCTGGATCCCATTAGCCTCCTTGTCCCCCCAGGACACTCTGCTGGCTCAGGGATGGCTCACTGTCTCGTGGACCCCCAGTTCCTTCTCTGCAGAGCTGCTCCAGCAGGTCACCCTCTGCCTGTGCTGGTGCCTGGGGTTGTTCCTCCACTGATGCAGTTCCTGCATTTCCCTTGTTGAACTTTAGAAGGTTCTTCCCTGCCCATCTCACCAACCTGTTCGGGTCCCTCTGAGGGCTGCACAGCCCTCAGGGCTGTTGAGGTTGGGCCTAAGGAGGGACAAACAGGGCCAGTTCATCAGTCCAAGGTGTTCACTCAATAAAAGGTGATTTTGGCAGGAGGGTATCATGACAAATGGCTCACAGCCACTGACTCCAGAATCGCACCAACTCCAAAGATGGACAAGACTGAGCCTGTGGACTAATTAGTGTGAGAAGAGACAATCATTTAACCAATAGAAGATAGAATATTAATTAGAGAACTCTGTAGCATGCAGCCAATGAATATTGAGGCCTTTGTTCGCTAAAATGTATAAATAATGCAAAACTTCGCTGAACGGGGAGCCAACACCCGTGGGAACAAACCAGGTCCTGCTGCGCACAACCTGAATGAAGCTATAGAGGTCTCTCACTTCAGCGTGGGAACTGGCTCTGCACAGCAGGGAACGAGCCTGGGACTGGGACAACCAGACCCACCTTCCAGCCCCAGGACAGCCACAGGCAGGAGGGGCAGGTGGGGACATGGGTGGTTCCTCTGGCCCTGGTTTCTCCCAGGTCTTGGGCTGGTGGGGCTGGGTCTGCAGGACACGGGTGTCTCAGAGACCACAGAACCTCCAGGAGCAGACCTGGTGAGAAGAAGGTCTCTACCCTCCTCCCTATACCTCCAACTGAATAATTCCTAGTCCCTCCTGAGCTTGGTGAAGCAGTTGCAGACCTTCACAACCCCAGAGAGAAGTGGAATTGGGATGTGAATATGGCGTGGGGTAGTGGCCCTGAATGGACCTGCACCGTGACATTGAGGGGCAAAGAGGCACGGCATAGCCACAACATCCCTCCTCTAAAATTGTAATAATTCAAATGTCATGGATGGATTGCCTGGGTAATTAGGAGTTGGTTGGATGGCCACAAACAGGGTAGTGGTGAAGGGCTCAGATGGAGCTCAGAGACAAAGGGGTGTCCCTGGGAGTCCATACTGGGACGAGTGCTTTTTAATGTCTCCATCAATGACACAGACAGTGGGGTCGAGGGCACCCTCAGCATGCTGGCAGATGACCCTGAGCTGAGCAGCACAGGTGACACACCTGGGAGACAAGATGTAATTCAGGGGGACCTGGAAAAGTTCCAGAAGTGGGCCCATGGGACCCTCAGGAAGATCAAGGCAGCCAAATACGAGGTCCTGAAACGTGGGTTGTGGCAACTTCATTATCAGTCCAGAAGTAAGCTTGTCCCTCTCTTGTCCTTCTTCTACCCCAAGTCTTGCTATCAAGCCCTTCATTCCCAGCCTGGATTGAGGCTGGGGGTTTTCCTTACTCATGTGCAGGCCCTCATGAGATTCTCATGGATCCACTTCACAAGTGTGGCCGGTTCCTCCAGGATGGCCCCATCCTTTGGGTGAATCACTAATCCTGCTTGGCTTCCAGTCACCTGCCAACAGGCTAAGGTTGTGCTCCACCTCACTGTGTCCTTGATAAGGTATCAAAGAGCACTGGTCCAAGGTAGTGCCCTGAGGTACACCACACCTCATTGGACATTGAACCAAGAGACACAGAGTTGCAGCCAATGGTTCTGTGCTCTTGTGACACCTCTCCAAAATTGCCTGTCCATCTCTTTGTGGTCTCTCCAAGGTTGGACTCGATGATCTTGTTGTTTATTTTCAATCTTAACAATTCTCTGGTTCCCCCAATGCCTCTTTAATCTGTTGTTTAGTTTCCTCCAAGCTGTACTCAGGGCTTAATGGGTTGAGGATAAACCAGGTTTTGGAGAAGAAAACATTCGTAAAAATTTCCAAGGGAAATGTTCTCAGAAGAGATTTTTGCTCTGCCCTTTGCTGTTCCACCCTTGGCCCACATTAAAGTAATTAAGGACTGAGGCCTGAGATGCTGTGGGGTTGCAAATGCTGTTGGCTGCTGGCCAGGGCAGAAAGCAGAGAAGTCGTTACAGGAGAGGAAACAGGCTTGTTTTGTTTGAATAAAGATCCTTCCAGGGGTTCAAATTTTGTGGATGAGTCTGGGGGGAGGAGAGAAGCAAAGTCTTTTCAGCTCAACCTCTGCATTGTCAGCTCAGCTTCAACTCTATAGTAATTTTTTGGATTATACTGAATCAGAAAAGTACGATTCCTTCCCTCCAAGCCCCTGACTGGGGACTTGGCAGCTTTGGATTCTGGAATTTTGCTCCAAGCAGAAAGATGATTTTCACTGTAACTAGAACAATAATTTGGGTTACAGCAAAAATTGGAGCCTTTGGAGTATAAAACACTGCTGAGATTTGAGGAAGGTGCTCAGTTGGGTGACTGTTGCCCTCTCCTACTCTGCTGGGATCAGGAACTTTGTTCTCCTGGTGTCTGTGTTAATCCAGACCCACAAAATTCCAGAAATTATTTACAGATTTGAGGACCCGAGCTTGATGTGAGAACTGGCCTGAAGTACATTGGTCCTTCTCCATCCACATGACTTTCCTGAGTTTCCATATAAGCATTGAAGTCATGGAGAAATGGATTTGATTCCTAGCAGCCTTTGCCCTTAATGACGCCCCCCGTGCCTTTTAACACATACATTTTAATTAGGGACTGCAAAGAGCAGAGATGACGTTTTATAGTTGGGCATGTGTAGGCGCAGCCTTGGGCTCTCTGCCTTGGTACTAATCTCTCTCCAAATCCCTGACAGGAGTGGGGTCACAAGGGACAGGACCAGGGAATATGGCTTCAAGTTGTGCCAGGAAAGCTTTAGGTTGGATATTGGGAAAATCTCTTTGTGGAAAGAGTGGTCAGACACTGAAAGGGGCTGCCTAGGCCAGTGGTGGAGTCACCATCCCTGGAAATGTTCAAAAAATGTGTGGATGTGGCATATGGGGGGGACAAGGTTAATGGTGATCAACCTAACACCAGGTCTTGGGTTGATGGTTGGACTCAATGATCTTAGGGCTTCTCCAACTTTAACAATTCCATGATTCTGTGATTATTACACTCTTAGTTCCTGGAACTCGCAGAACAGGTCACTGGCTGGGTCGATTTTTTTTTCTATCTTCTTCCAAACTTCTTTTTTTACTCCCAGCTCTGCAGAAAGTGGCCAGAATTATGGGGACTTTCAGGTGCTGCTGGAGCTCAGTGTCCACCGTTTATTTATTGCAGCTTGGAATGTTTTGCCCACCTGTGTCACGGACAGCATCTCAAAGTGGGAGCAACTCATAAATCCCAGGATCTGCCTGGGTGTGACTGATGAGCTGTGCTACTGAGTAGATATCTGAGAGTCCCCCTCAGGCTTTATGATACGTCAATAAAAAGTTTGGATTAATGGATTACCAACCTAATGGCGTGTGAAGTCTTTATAAAGCTCTGACTGCTGGGCAGTCTGAAAGCTCAGGAGAAGAGGGAAAGTCTGAGAAACACAAAAAAGGCAGAGAAAGCCCGACAGCAGAGGAAATAAAATCTGCCCAGGTCAGGAGAGACTTGGCTTTGCAGGCACTATGAAAAGCTTTCTTTCCTGGACAGTCCTGGCAGTCCTTGTCCTGGTGCACATCTCCCAGGCTGTCTATGTTCAGGTGAGTTTTTTATCTTTCATTTGTTGGTATTACAAATTCAACAAAGTGCTGATATTTTTTTAAACTTCTGGCTGCAACAAGAATCTTGAACTAAATTAATAAACCTGAATTTTTGCTTTGCTCAGCCTTGATTTCCACCTGCATCTCCCTGTGCTCTGGGTTTTTCTTCTGTAAAACACTTCAGATATTACTGAATGCTGCTGCTGTTTATTTACCTTCTCCAGCCATATCTCTGCTCTGAAATCCCTTAGGGACTGAGGGGTTTCATGCCCGGAATTTTCTCCTAGACCTAAAGCCATGTGCGGTGAAGGTGCGGCCTTTAGAGAGTGATGGAAACATGGTGTGACAAAGGAAAAATTGTCCTGTGTTACCTGGTTCTAGGCAGGAAGTTCTTTGTGGAAATGATCTGTGAGTTTATGAGATGGAGCCTGGAAAAAAAGGGCAAAGAAGAGCTTAGTTGGATCAAATTAAATATTAATAGGCAGAGAAGATTAGAGCACCCTCTGTGAAATTTTCCAAGTACACAGCACCTATGGCTGATATTCCATGCAAGGTGGAAGGGGTTAAGAAGGTACTTCAGGGCCCTGGTCTGTCCGTGGGAAAGCTTTGGATCTTTCTGCACTCATCCTGAGGGACAGTGTGGGAGATTTCAGTCTGATTGCAATGTAAACAACTTCCTCTGGGGGCCAGGGAAAATAATACTTGTTAAACAATTACTGACTCTGTGTGTGTGTGTGTGTGTACAGCAGGTTTATCTATGTGTCCTGGACTACTCTCTTCTGTCCTTTGGATGACAGAGATATCCAGAGGTGGCAGGTTTAAGCTATTCCTTTCTCTCAAACGATTCCTCAACATTTACAGTCTTCAGAGGAGCAAACAGCTTCCTACCCAGTGAAAACAAACCTAGTTTTCCACTTGCAGCCATAAAAAAATGTTAATAAATGAGAATGGCTGCTTCCAGGTTGCATAAAAGAGTAGGAAGTGCATCTCTGGAGCTTGAGCTGGATTTCTTCTCTCATTAATCATTAAATCTGTGTTTTCCCCACTGTATTTGCAGTGAACTCTGAGTGTGTTGCAGACCTTTCTCATGAGGTCTTTGAGATCTGACTGATTCTCTTTGATTCTTTACTGCACAAAGTTGGCTTCCACTCTTCTTCCCTGAAATTTTCCCCGAGACTTCCCTTCCCATAATATGTCAAATTTAACTCTCTCTAATACATTTCTTACTTGAAGTGGCGAGGTTTTGTGTCTATTTTGCTGTTCCTTTGTTCTTTTTTGTCCCCAGGACCTGCAGATCTCAGGGTTTGTTCCTAGTTCCTGGTTTCTCTGAAATTGTGCCTATAAAAATCCACTCTCTTTTCAGTTATATGGGTTTTGCTTCTCAGTTGTGTGACCAACAGCTGAATCTAGAGCTGCTTTTATAGGAAAAGTAAATTTTTCATAGCCAGGGCTGATCACAGAATCAGAAAGCTGTTTAGGTTAGAAAAGCCCTCTAAGAGCTTTGTATCCAACTGTTCCTCCAGCACAGAGAGATCCACCATGTTCCCAGGTGCCACATCCACATGTTCTTGGAACGCTTCCAGGGAGAGTGACTCTACCATTCCCATGGGCAACTGGTGTTGGTGCCCGATTAACCTTTATAGATCATTAAGACCAGAAAAGATCTCTAAGGTCATTGAGTTCAACTGATAAATTAACCTGCGTAAGATCATAAACTGATTGCAAGAGAAAAGAATTTGACTTAGTTAAGTAAATGCATATCCGAAGTCTATCTGATTGGCTTTTTTAAACCTTTAACACCAAAATAATGTGATTCTGTAAAAAACCCTCCAAGTCAGAATCAAATCCCCTCCCCATTTATCTCACACCATTCCCCATTGGACTCCTGGGGCTGTGAAACAAATGCGAATATTTGCTCTTGTGCTGTGTCAGAGTCACTGAATTTTATTTCTTTGGATGAGGAGCTGTTACTTGATCCCAGAATCCCAGGATGGTTTGGGTTGGAAGGGACATTAAAGTTCATCTCGTTCCGACCCCTGCCATCAGGTTGGAACCTCCCACATTACCTTACCGACTACATGTTGTCCATGAAACCACGTCAAAATGGGAGATAAAAATCAGTTTGAAAATGCTGATTTGTCTTCTAGGCCACACTCTGATTATCTGCAGATGGGTACAGGCTTTGTGCACTTGTTTAAACACCTAGAACTTAAATTTATGACCTCAAAAAGAGGGAACGAAAACTGAGGGAATGACCCTTAACCAATGCACAGGGAGGAACAACTAAAACATAGAGTAATATTTCTCAGAGTCCTGTTCCAGCTTCCTGAAGTTTCTGGTGAGAGCTTTGAGTCTGAAGTGTCATATTTATGCTTCCAAAACCTTGTTTTTCATTAATCGTGTGGGCAAATTTCAAATTGGCACAGGGTGGGATTGTTGGGCATCTGTGCAGGGCCAGGATCTGGAGTCAATGGTTCCTGTGGGTCCCTTCCAACTCAAGAGATTCTGTGGTTCTAAATTAATGAAAACTTTCCACAATATCCTGAGATGAAGGGTTTAAGCCCTCAACAATGTGTGGTGTGAAAGAAGAGCTGCTTTCGTGTGGTCACACCCTGCCAGGTCACACTTGGCACTTCCACTGCTGTGCCTAGGAGAAAGGGTGAACCAAATAAATTCCTATTTATCCCCATTTAGGTCATGATTTTGTAGATCTCTGCCACATATCCCTGGTAGTGTCAGATGGAGCTTGGAGCAACCTGGTCTAGTGGAAGTTGTCCCTGCCCGTGGCAGGGGGTGGAATGAGAAGAGCTTTAAGGTCCCTTCCAACCCAACCCATTCCAGGATTCTGTGATATTGCCCAATCATTTCTTCTCTGGGCTGATGATTCTCAGCCTGGATCTTTCTATCCCATGTTTTATGGATCTGTCTCATGGGGATGAGCCAGGCCCAAATTCTCCCTCTGTCCACTGCCTTCATTCAGCACAGGTTTTATCTGGGCTTTCTTCCAACATTATCTTTTCCTTCTGTTACATTTTTTGGGAGAGCTCTTGGTTGAAATGGAATGGATTTGCTAAAGGCCTGACTTCCATACACCTCTTTTTTTCTGGTTCTGCACAGGATGGAGACTTGAAATTCCCCCTGGAGTCCGTGAAGAAGCTGAAGGAGCTCATGGATGGGAGCAGGCACATCAACCCTCGCATGAGGGTTCCCATGGCCAGCTATTCCCCATGCCAAGAAAAACACCTCCCTGAGGAATTCCGGCCTGTGTGCAAGAGGGAAGATGCACCGATGGTTTTTAGGAGGCTGAGTATGTCATTCATATTTCGTAGTTTTCATTTTTACCACAAATTTCAACCTTAAACTTTCCAATAGCAGGAGGCAAAGCCACAGAATTACTTCTGTGTCACTTCTAGGGCAGCTCAGAGGGTTTGTGCTGCGTTTGTGCTGCCCTTTCTCCTGCAAAAGTTTGGCTTCACAAACCCTCTATGGAAAATTCCTGCAGTGCTGAGCTGAGTTGGCCACATTCCACTGTGGTGATCATGGAAAAGTTCATCCAAGTAGAATAATGGAATCACTGAATGGTTTAGTTAAAGCTCATCCCGTTCCACCCCCTATGGGCAGGGACACCTTCCACTATCCCAGGGTGCTCCAAGCCCCATCCATCCTTGGACACTTCTAGGGATCCAGGGGCAGCCGCAGCTTCTCTGGGCAACCTATGCCAGGGTCTCACCATCCTCACAGGGAGGAATTTCCTCCCAGTATCTCATCTAAATCTACCCTTCTCTAGCTTAAGACATTCCTCCTTGTTTAGAGACCTTCTGCCACGTGCTGCTGCTGCAAAACTGTTTGCTTTAAAAAGTTATTATATTGCATTTATTTACTGTCCAGTACAAAGGACGCTTTAGGATGAAATGTTTCAATGTCACGTTGTGCTCTTCCACATGTTCCCATTGCTTCCCAAGGAATTCAGGTTTGATTTCATTCCTTCAGCCAGATTTTAGCATGAGCTAATTTTGCTTAGAGCAGTATTACCTACAAGGATCTTTCAAATTATAAAATAGGAATGCAAAGGAGTCTCCAAATGCTTTGACAGGTAGCTCTGCTCTCCTGGTATCTGACTGAATTCCTCCTTTCTCATGGACAGGCCTGGCTGCCGAGGACGACCTGTGTGAGATCTGTGCCAACGCTGCCTGCGCCGGCTGCTTCTGAGGTGGAAAAACCCACGCAAGACTTGTCCAGCTGGGAAGTTTGTGCATTCCCGTGGCAAGATCATGTACTGTCACCAATCAATATTCCTGGGCTTCATCTCCCACTCAGCCAAACTGGAGCTGCCAGCTTGTGGGGACGTCCCTGCAGTCTTGCAGCACCTGGATCAGGTGCCACTACCAGAGCAGTTCTGCCATCAAGGAGGCTGTGACTCCTCTGAGAGGTGCAGGTGCTGCCGAAGTTGTGTGACACTGGAATGGAAATGCCCTGCTTCATTTCCCACTGTTTTGCCTGGATTTGAACAAGCTGAATGAAACTCAGCCCTGCAGCCTTTTTAATAGCTTATATTTAATGCCCAATAAGTAGTATCTAATCATTAATATGTGCCTATAATTTGGCCTCCCATCACTGGGTTGTGTGTTTCCAGTCCCTCCTTCCCTCCAGACCTTCCCACAAATCTTCCACCCCTTTGGATCCTGAGACACCGCAGGCTTGTTTAGCCTGGTGCGTAGAGCACTGCAGAGGGAAAAAGGGGGGGTAAAGGGGGGCCAAAATCTTTCCCAGTCCTTCCTTCCCAGTGTGTTAGATCCCTTTCCCTTCCACCTGTCTGCAGGTGACTGTGGGAAAACAGAGAGCAGAAGGGAGAGCACTGCTAAACTCATAACAGAAGTGGACACGGTAACTCTGCTAGGCCATAAGCCTTGGAAGTAGAAAGCAGAACTCTGAAGAGGGAAGCAAGAGATAACGCTATGCCTGGCACAGTATGCTCGGTACGCCTAGTTTGTGAGAAACCATGTAATTCTGTACATGCCTATGTTGGTCCATAGAAAGGTATGGTTAAGCAATTTTACTAGGAAACATAAATGTTATGGTTAGTGCTACTTTTAGCTACAGCTGAAAAGGTATACATGGTGAGCCCTTGTAATCAATAAATTGACTTCTTGCGTGGAAGCGAGTCCCGTCTCTTCAGTCGCCGTCAGGTGACACTTTTGAGTTTGTAGCAGAAATGCCACAAGTAACTCAAGCTCAGTTCCTGGTGTTTAGGAACACTCTGACAGCCAGAAATCAGCCTGTTCCTTGTACTGACTGTTGTTGATTTAGGGAACAGGTGTAGAGCAGCACAGGAACACTTCTTCCCTGCTTGGATATCAAGGTTCTTTAAACTCTCTTTGGGAGAAAGGAATTCCAAAGTACAGCGGTAGAATCACATTGAAACAAAAGCATTGCTTGTTGTTTTATTCATTGGTGGTGAGATTGTGAAGAAATTATCTGCCCGTGTTTATATGCTGTGCAAGCAATAAAAACTAGAAATAATTTGGATTTTGTTGTTGTTGTTGTTGTTTTGGGTTGTTTTTTTTTTTCTTGTTTTGTTTTGTTTGTTATTGCTGGGTTTTGGGGTGGATTTTGTTTTGGGATGCTCTTCTTGCCTCCTTGCTTTTTCCCCATGTAAGGCATTTAATGTCTGTGGCTTCCCTGAATAAAAGATATATTTTAACAATGTCCTGAACTTAAACCAATTTGTAGTCACAGAATCACAGAACTGTTTGGGTTGGAAAAGCCCTCCAGAATCATTGAATCCAACCTGTGCCTGATCCCCATCTTGGCACCCAACCCAGAGCACTGAGTGTCATGCCCAGTCCTTCCTTGGACACTTCCAGGGATGGGGACTCCACCACTGCCCTGGGCAGTGCCCCCCCACACCAGCTCCTGACCACCCTTTCCATGATGCAATTTCTCTTGATGTCCAACCTAACCCTCCCCTGGCACAACTTGAGGTCCTTCAGTCTCATCTTCTCCCTGTTCCCTGGAAGCAGAGCCTGGCCCCCCTGGCTACACCCTTCTGTCGGGGAGTTGTGGAGAGGCAGAAGGTCCCCCCTGAGCCTCCAGGCTGAGTACCCCCAGGTCTGTCATGGTAATGCAAGTCCATATCAGAGATTCTAAACCTTTCCTTCCTATTTGTAACTGTTGAACTATTATCTCCATTTTTATACATGGAGCCCTCAACTCAACAACCAAGTTCCACCAAGACTCTCAGTGCTCCAAATCTGTATCCTGAGCCCTGGAATTCAGAATCTAAATCCAGAATTGGTGTTAGAAAATGATCCTGAGGTGCATACATTCCTACTTCATTTGTCAGGAAAATTGTGAGGGTGTAGAAGAGGATTCCTTACATCCAGTATGTCGACTACCCCAGGACAAAATGCATCCAGAGCAAATTCCAAAGAGAGAGTCCTTCACCAAGGCTATTCCTGCTGCCTTGAAGTTGGCATCTCTGGGAAGTAGGATTTCCTGACTCAAACACTGCAGGGGCTTCTTTTAAACCTGAAGTTATTTCTCTGAATAGAGAAGGGACTTACTATTTTCCTTTAAAACTAATCTGACAAATCCTCAGGTCCCAGCACAGCAGCTTGTATCAGCTTCTGTAGAGAAGGAGGCTATGGATTTTACATGGGAGACTTGTTAGTGACAGGATTAGAACCAAGATGCTGTTGAAACACTGCCAGTGCTCAGGTGGGGCAGGAGGGATGGACTAGAGACCTTCCCACAAATCTTCCACCCCTTTGGATCCCGAGACACCACAGGCTTGTTTAGCCTGGTGCGTAGAGCACTGCAGAGGGAAAAAGGGGGGGTAAAGGGGGGCCAAAACCTTCATTTTGTCCCCACTGACTGAGATTTGTGATTTTGGGGGGTTGGTTTGACAGCAGAAGGTTGTGTCCCTGGGGGAAAAGGGGTGGGGGGCACACAGGAAAAGAAACAAACATAGAATGGGTTGGATAAAGATAATGAAGAACGGATGACAAATAAAGGAAGCCAAGAGCCAGGAGTGAAGATCTGATTTCACAGAAGCAGGCTTAGAAAGCCTCTCCAGAGCCCAAACATTGAGGGCAGCGTTCGCCAGCTCTCTGGTACCTGAGAGTGTGGCTCAGAGCAGAGCAGGGATTTAATCAGGCTGGTTATCAGCTCAGCCACCTGCACAGCCTGTGGGAATCACAGAATCGGGGGATGGTTAAGGCTGGAAAAGACCTCTGGGATCATGGAGGGCAACCATTAATCCAGCCCGGCCAGGGCCACCACCAGCCACACCCTGCAGGTTTCATCCTGTGCAGGAGCACCAGGCTGATGTGACGAACTGCTAATGTTAATAATGGGATACAGAATTACAGAATATCCCAAGCTGGAAGGGATCAGTGAGTCCAACACTGGTATGTACCAGGCTGTGGAGGGGTATCTGTGTTAAACAAGTGGGTATTGCTGCTTTGAAGGAGAAGATTTATTCGCTTTAAGAAGTAACCCCTGGCTTTAGGATTTATTTGCTGTATTTATTTAGGAACGTGTGAAAAGTGCTTCTTGCACAGAGAAGCTGCCGCCCTTCCTCCAATCTTGCAACCACCAGCATCACCTTCAATGCACGTGAACACAAGGGAGTGAGGGAAGGAAAGTCATTATGAATTTCAAGGAAATATCTGCTGTTTTTTCCTGTCGTTATTTCAGAGATAAGACAAAGCCTTCAGCTACCACAGCTTAGAGCAAAGAGCTGCTGGCTTAGCTCTGTTATCTCATCTGACTATCCCTTGCCAGGGGAGAGGGGAGAACCTAAACTGGAGCATCAGCCAACCTCCCCTGGCATTGTCAGGAACCCTGACATCAGCAGTATATTTGTCTATTTTGTTCCTCCCTCAACCTCTCAGTAGCTCAAGGATAACCATGGGTTTATGGCTGATGTCTGTGAATCTGTGCAAACTTTCTGCTTACCCAGAGCCCCAGGCTCTGTCTGGAGTCACAGAGGTGCTCATAAACCACCTTTGTTGGAAAGGCTGGGCATGGGAATTACCTTGTGTCGCTGCCTGTTCTAAAGCACAGAGACCAGGCTGGGAAAACAGATTCAGAGTACTGAAACCAGGCTGGGAATTTGTGAGTCCCAGGTACAAAGCCCCAGGTACTTGGAAGATTCTTCCATTTTTATAGCCCAGCATCAAAATGTGTATTTCATGGCTGTTCTTTCATTTTTCGTCTTAAATCCACTATTAGCTGGGAATTTTGTAGATTGGTGCAAAAACTCAATTTTCATATAATTTCTTGGACTGAAAGTTGGGTAAAGTAACAAGTGTTAAGCAAATCTTGTATGAGATCATTCAAATTTTCTGGTCAACATAAAGAAACTCCAAACAGGTGATTATTGTGTTATCAAACAGAACATTTCAAGGTCAGGGTACAACAGAACTTCATCTATAAACATATTGATCCTGTTTAGGAAAGAACAGTCATACTTCAACTACCTTTTCTCTTCTCTTTGATTTGCAGCTATCAAGGGACAAAAATATAATTTTTAGAGCAAGAGTTTGTGAGGACCTTTGTGACACAAGAGCCTGATACTAAAATTAATATTATATATAAATCAATGAATTAAGTATTGAATAAAATATATTAAAACCACCAGTGTTCTATTTAGATGAGGAGTCTGTAATGCCACACATTGTAGAGAACAACATTATGAACTGGTCCCAGTATCCTCATCCGGGAGAGGAAATAAATAGGCTTGTAAAAAAAACAACAAAAAACTCCTAAAGAGACTTGTTAGGATCAATGCCAGAACCTCAAACCGGTGTGAGATGTAGTATGAGAGGTTAAATAAAACCAATTTAGAAGAATTAAAAATAGTCAGGTAACTTCAGTCTTGAGCTTTAGTATTTCCTGCCCCCTCCCCCCCAGCCTTTCCCCCAGTTTAAGTGCTCTTGTGCTCTTGCCTTACAGAAGATATTTGAGTGGGCAATTTCATACAGGGCCCCACAAAGATCCACTAAGAACCCTTGTTTTTCTCCTCCCCCTCTTTATTTATTTATCTTTTTTATTTATTTTATTTATTTATTTATTTATTTATTTATTTATTTATTTTCCATGAAGGGCTAAATCCAGACAGCATTTGAGACAAGCAGGAAAACAAGTTGTTTCAACAGCAAAAAAACTTTCTTCCTTTCAAATGTACAAAGATATGAAGCCCGAAGCCCATTTCTTCAGAGAATCCTGAAGCAGTTGAGGTTGGAAGGGACACTGGGGGCCATCCAGTCTTACCTCCCTTGGACCTGAATGCCCAGGACCATTTCCAGACGACTTTTGGATGTCTCCGAGGATGGAGAATCCGCAGTCTCTCTGAGCAGCCCGTTCCACTGCTCAGTCACCCTCCTTTTTGTCTTTTTGTTTAATACCAGTGAATTTCTGACTTGCCCCCACCTAGGAAAAAGAAGAACAGAAGCATTTACTAATTTCAAATTAAGCTCTTTTTTGAGAAAATTTCAATACTTTCCCTGGAAAAAATGCAGAATGATTTCAGGCAGTGTCGTTGGGGTTGGTCTTAGCCCTGGGTGGGCCTCTGCTCCCACCCCACACAAATTCAAGGATCCCAGAGCGCTCAGCAAACACTGAGCACACAAAGATGTGCTTGTCCTTGGGGTAACATTTTAACTAAAGGGTCAGAGAAAGTACCAGTGATGACGTGATTTGGTTTATCAGCAATAAAATGTCATAAAAGCAATGGCACGCCCAAGGAGAATTTGCACTAAATATTAGGCATGTTCTGATAAAAAATATCAGGGTTGAGATAGAAACACTGTTCGATCTTTCCAGGAGCTTAACTTGTTTTTTTTCTTCCCAGGAATCTGTAAGACAAATCCCATGTTCTCCTCTGACTGGGATATTGCACCATCAGGCACTGGAATCAGAATTGCTGACTGAAGTATTTTATTGATGTTTTCATTCCTGTAATGGTGAGACACTTTTTGAACAGATCAGTAAATGTTCTGCTTTGCTATTTCAGTGGGTGAAGTGACACAGTGAATCCAAATATCCCTGTTAGCATTCGTCTGCTTTAAATAGCAAATACCCCACAGCTGGGAATTGTCAGTTGTTCCAGCCATCTTTGACTTGTTGATACCCCCTGGTAGATGTCCAACCTCTCTCCCGGGACGTACCCGTGAAAAATCTGGAAAATCCAATGCAGGGTGACCGAGGTGGTGAGGTGTCTGCGGCCCATCATCTCCCCCCTGCTCCCCAGGTGAGGGGAGATGAACTTCTTTAATCTGAGGAGAGGAAAAGCATGAAGGCAGAAATTGTGAGAAATAGGTTAATCATGGCAGGGTCTCTTATTTCCAGATCTTTCAGAAAGGCACATCCGGTGACAATTTTGTGGCACTTCCAAGGATCCATGTCTCAGTTTGCTCATGAGCCACATTGGCTTTTAATAGCTCTGGAAGACATTTTTTTATTATTATTTTGGAAGCTTGTACCAAGCGTGGTACGTATTTGTTGGCAAAAAAGA